CTCCTCCTAGAGTTTTGAAGCTACAACAATGAGACATATATCATTCAATTTGCAAATAAACTATCTACAAAATGTTCATCCCGGTTTTTCTAGTTTCATTATAGTTTGAATTTTATTCTGCAAAAAGAGGGGGGTGGCGGGGGGAAAATCGAAAAATTTCTGAACATTTTGGAAAAATGCCCCCCACTTCCACAAAAATTGTAATTTCAAAAAAAAGGGTGATGAACATTTTGTAGATGAAGACCTCACGCATCGAATGATATGTGTCTCGATGTTGTAGCTTGGAAATCCTAGGACTAGATCCATTTCTACAGTACCCCCTTTAATAGCCGTTTTCTAAGAATTTCACGTTTTCTTTCATTTTTTTCGAAAAATTCACGCGAACAAAATGCGAGTTTTTTTCCATTTTACATATGTGTACCAAGTTTCAGAGTGATCCGACTGTAAATAGCCGAGATAATTTTTAGGGTAGACGCTCCCCTTAAAAGTCGCAATAGCAGTCTCGACTGAATCGATCAAGAGTATTCTTTACAAGATTAACGAATGTCCATGACACAGTCCAGTCACGTAAAAACAGGTAGTCACAACTAATCCAAATATACACCAGAGTAATACTTCGTCCGCAAAGGTAAAATACTTACAGCAGTGATTAAAACCCAAAGGCAATACAACGAGTAGAGAAAATGAAACAAACGTCAATTGGCGACGCCCTATGCTGTACTGGTGGCTGCAGCTCATATGGCCTGTAGCCTCCGCCCCGCAAAATGTTGCCACACACAAAAAAAGAGAACTATTTGGCTCCCGTCTGACCATGTTATTAAAATCGTTTTGCTAGCGAATACGTGACACCGCCCCCCCATTGCTTATAAGTAACTAAATAAGCAATAAAACCTAATACGGCGGTCAAAGCCCCTCGCGCCCACTCTCAATTAAGACAACTAGCTCGCAGATAGGCCTGTTCAAGTGTTTCACCCTCTTCCTATTTACTTTGCTCATACCAATCGTCCCAATCCGAGCTGACCGAACGAGGCCATCTGAACTTAGCTTAACGCTTTCAACGACGCCCATTGGCCACTCGTTGCGCTTACAGTTTGGCTCCCTTATGAGGACAACGTCTCCCACGGACAATGAGTGCTTCTCGCCTCGCCATTTCCGTCTGAGCTGCAGGTCTTTAAGATAGAATTCATGCCACTTGGTCGGCAGATACCATGCTTTGCCGGCGGCGTCCTTTATTTTATCTTTCGGAACATGCTCGACGTGGTGCCGATCAATGTCTTTTTTCATAGCGGCCAGGCACTCTGATAATTCTCCAAGGGAACGTTTCAGACGTTTCAGGGTGTAAAACTGACGCCTGAGAACCGCAGACTTGTCATCGGGTAGCTGGGTATTCGTACTCTTGAACGGCAAGGGGGCCTGTAGATTTCCTTCGTCACTCACCTTCATATTATTGGTAATGATGTTTAAAAATTTTCTATCTTCGGCGGAATACACTAAGCACTCGTCATCTTGGAATTTTAAAAACACGTTGGTCCCGGAAACACTAGGTGACGCAGCAAAACTTTCATGAATGGTGCTTTTCAAGCAAATTGGGTCGCCCCTATGTCCAGCGCTCTGGCAGATAGAACCGACGACCGTCCACCCGAGTGGTGTCTTATAAACAAGGGGCGCCTCATTGCTTACGAGTTGCGATGCCAGCAGCGCTCCAGCGTCCCTTCCAATGAGGACGGCCACGCAAGGTCCTGGGTCAAACTCTACGAATTTATTCGCAAGATGTTTCAAGTGGGCGTGCTTGGACACGATGTCTGGCGTGGCTACCTCCGCTGTCGTGTCTGGTATGTGATGATTCTCAAAAAGGTTTGGTAATTCGTATGCGCAGCTCTCGTTCACTCCTCTGACGCTGAGTCCCACTGCAACTCTGCCAGACATCTTAATTCTCTCGCCCGATAGTGTGGAGATGAAGTAATTATGGACTTCCCCAGTCAAGGATAGAGCGTCGAAGATCAGAGGAGAAACGAAAGAGTTGGACGACTGTTCGTCCATGATGGCGTACACTCTCAACGTCTTCCCGGTCACGGAAGAGCTGACATCGACGAGAACGGTTTTGCTGCAACTTCGCACAGAATCGTCCCCACAGATCTCCGTGCAGCAGGAGACGTGATTGGCATCGCCGCTTCGGCTTGGCCGGGGATTTATCCTCTGAGTTGCTTCCGTGTTCCCTGTTGGCTCTCCACGATCGCGGCTTCGACGGTCGACGCTTCCACCGGTGTTTATGTGCAGCGCCGAACAATGATAGGGCGACTGACAATGCTCGCACGACACGCCCGCAGAGCAGTTATCGGCTGAGTGAGGTCCCATGCATCTCAGACACAAATCGTGGCTAAATGCGACCAGCCGTCGCGATTCTCCGTCTAGTTTCGTAAAGGATCTGCACGTCCCTAAACTGTGGGAATTTTATTTATGCAATGGACAAAGAAATTGTAGCGGTGCGGCTGAATTATTGGTCGACACCCTGAGGACTCGAGCGTGTCGTCCGTCCAAGGCTGTGGACTCGCCTCGTCCTGCAGAGCTGCAGGACTCGGATTGAGAGGGGACACGAGGATCACAGCACAAGGCGTCTGACTTCTCTTCCAGAAATCTACAAAAAACGGCGAACTCGGGGTGGTTGCCGCCGTGCTCGAGCATATACCTGTTTGTGACATCCCGCCATTTGAGATCTAGAAAATCAGGCAGCTTATTTCTGATGGGTTCGAGACCACTAGCATAGTTCAGCGTTCTCAGGTCAGGGACCGTCTCTAAATGAGCACAAACGACGAGGCATAGGTCACTCAACTGGCGCAATCTAGCCGCAACCGTTGGGTCGGTTGCAGAACTCTTAACAGATGGAAAGGACGACAGCTTCCTTCGCAGCCCCAGAGCGACCTCTTCTCCCGCTCCGAATCTTTGATTTAATTTAGCAAAGATCACCTCCAGCGCTCTTGCCGGGTCCGTGCAATGAGCGGCCTTGAATGTCTGGATTAGGTAGTTTGGAGCTCCAACGGTGTGGGCCTCAAGGATGTCGATGGTGTCCCACGGGGACGGCTGGAGAGGGTCCACTCTATGAAGCAGCGATCTGAGCCAGCTACGAAATACGTGTGCTTCGCCATTGAAGGGGTTCGCTGGCTTCCTCTTGAGCTCGGCTAAGGCCAGGTGGCGGGTTGACGCGTCGAAAGAGCCCAAAAAAAATGGTCGAGCCCTGTCGCTGGTAGAGGGGCGGGAAACAAAGGCGCTCGTGGGTTCCACAGGACGTTCGCTGTTAGTCACCCTCGGTCCGCGCGTATTGTTGATTGCGTCATTCGCGTCGGGTCTTTCTTCATGCGAATGCAGCCGGGCTGTTTTAAAAGCAAGGATACAATTGCCGTTTCGAAATGCCGTTTCTTCGCGTAAGGTAAAAGTCACTTGGCCTCTTCGAGTGGTTTCGGGTTCTAAACTGTCGAAGTGATCGTCGCTAAAAATTGAGCATGCGTCGGCTGAACCGGTGAGCCTGGGTGCTTGAATCCCTTGGTCAAGAAGTGGCTCATCCAGATGCTCATTGCTCAAAATCAGTTCCTTATCCCTCGCCAGCCTCTCGCGCAGAAGCGCTTCCTCTCGACGCCCTCTAAGCTCGAGCAACTGGAGCTGTGACTCCACACGGGAACTTAATCTCCTACAGGAAGAAGGATCAGCCAGGTTCACCACGGTGGATATTCCAGATATTGCAGAAACGTCGTCATCTCCAACCTCTCTTTGCAGTTTTCTCAATTTACTGACCTTGCTGTTGGCTCACACCGAAGCCAACTAGGCCCAAGCATCATCATTTATATTTATGGCTCGTGATCGTCCATCGACTCAACTTCTCGGCTTTCAATGGTGCAATTAATTAATGTCCATTGTAGTCAACCATTTAATAATCCAGGTTTAAGTCCAAGCTCTGAACTTTCCTGAAATCAAAAACTAAGTATAAGAAATGCTAAAGATACTTGTTGAGTATTTACAGTGATAATACATGTCCTCTTATACATACTTATTAAAACAATATACACTTCATAACTATTCAGAATATTTACACTTGACAATGAACACTTCAACAGCCTACCGTAACAACAATATACACACCTCATTCACGACTCCGTCCGACACAATGACTAATCTAGAGCTCCTAAAGTACGGACGTTAACGAGATGTTAAACCCAAGGTAACTGAACCCATCAACAAGGTAAACATTTCCCAAAGCTGGAAAATCAAATTTGCTATAATTTTTAAGATAGATATTATTAAAACAAGAACCAAGCAGCGCGTTAGAATATATAAGCAAACAGAACAATTATTGAAGAGTGTACATTCCGAGACATTATGACTGATAAAAGTAGGGCCCATGGTATGGTAGCAAAGGCAAACTCTTTTTGTTTGCCTTCATAGCAGATTAGAACCGAATACCAAAACAATATTTTTATTTCTCCTTTTATGTATGTGGCCCCGCTGATTGGGTTGCTGCGTGAATTGCTGCTCGTAATCGGTAGATAATTATTAATCATTTATAACTGATTAAAATGTTTCAGACTATCATGTGTTCTGAGCATTGATGTTTCAAGGAGACCAATAGGGCGGAATAGCGGGTAAAACTAATCATCAGCTTAAACCAGCATTAGTTAGTTAGGTAATTCCTTCCGAGCGACGTTGGGATGATATACCAGAATTTCTTGTATCCCGGCCTTGAATTTTCCAAGCTATATTGACGGGCCGCATAGTGATCTATTTTCATGCAATAAAAAACACTTGAACTGAACTTCTTTACTATCTTCAGCCATTCCCTGACTGCGCTCACCTGGAGTATCAGTCAGACGACTACTGGGGATGCCACATCCGTGGCATGGCGGGTGTGATGGCGCACATCAGCGTGGCATGGCGGGTGAGATGCCACATCCGTGGCATGGCGGGTGTGATGGCGCACATCCGCGGCATGGCGGGTGTGATGGCGCACATCCGCGGCACCTGCAAGATGGCTCCAGACTCCGACCCCATGGGGGTGGTGACCCCGCGGCTCAAGTCAGACTTTGCTGTCTTTATGACACCATTTACTTAATATAGACACCATTTACTTACTATAGACACCGTTTACTTAATATACACACCATTTACTTAATATAGACACCATTTACTTAATATAGACACCATTTACTTACTATAGACACCGTTTACTTAATATAGACACCATTTACTTACTATAGACACCGTTTACTTAATATAGACACCATTTACTTAATATAGACACCATTTACTTGATATAGACACCATTTACTTAACATAGACACCATTTACTTTTACTCACAATTTGCAATCATGAAGATACGAGCATTAAAAATATAAAAGAAGAATCCTTTTAAAAATGTCGTGCGTGTTGATGAGCGATACTTGTGCATTTTTATGACTCCTCCACATTATCTGCTCACATTTTTCTGTAGCCATAGAATTCTGGACCTCCTTTTATATGTGTATCTTTGAACGCATGCATATTAGTTTTCTAACCCATATATTGAAAGATGGAAAAATTGTTATGTAATTTATTATTTATTATTTTCCTAGGGTTCGCGGCGTCAAGAATTTACGTGTCATCGATTCGTCTGTGATGCCTCAAATAGTTTCAGGTGGGCAGATTGTATGCATTAATTAATACGGGTTGTTACCGTCGATTGGATTGACTAACAATAGATCTTTCTTATACATTTTTTATCATGAAGATTCCATGTATAATAAATTCATTATTTATACATGGCTTTACTTGCCACATCAGACTATAGAAACGACAGGCATTCAATAGATTGTTATATTATTGAGCACTTTAGCAAAGGCTAGTCGAATAACAGAACAACATAAACAGTATATGTTATAAGAACAGCAATATAAATAAATAAATACAAATAAATAAATACATACAAATAAATAAAAATATACAAATAAATAAATAAATACAGCAATACAAATAAATAATAAATGTTTGTCGAATAACAACCCAATATCAATAGTATATGTTATAAGAACAATACAAATATTTGTTTGCTTTCAGCTAACATCAATGCGGCTGTGATCATGATTGGCGAGAGAGGAGCTGATCTCGTCAAAGAAGATCACGGCAAAATCTGACGAGCACAATTCCCTGGTGCTGCGTCAGAACTCTCATATGCACACTAATTATAATTTTTTACATCGTGAATGTACAAATTTCCTCCTACTTTGTAATCTGTAAAACGTAGTAAATTTAGTTTATTTTCACGATCAAAATTAAAATATAATTTTGCTCACATATTTAATAGAAATAGTGAATAGTTTTACCTGGCCGTTTATGAGGAATATCATATCTTTTCCATCACACGTGATTCATGACGAGGCATAATGTCAACACCCGCATGTCGGTTCCATCATAGCATACCAATTTTACGCACATTTCCAAAAATAACTTAAGACGAAACATGAATAATTTCAATGGGTACATGAATGAGAGAAATTATGACTTATTTCGTCTCTTGAGCCATCAGTGCGTGGCATAAACATAACATAACATAGTGATGTCGGCGCTGAAGTGTAGGCCTGATGTGGCCTGTCGCCGATTCTTTTCCTTTTCGTGCCTTGTTCACAGAAGATCTAAACTCGTGTCATTTGACCGGATCTTTTCATGACTGACGATAGTTTGAAGAAGCTACTCGACTTCCACCGGGTTCGATAAGGAGCTAGGCATTTCAAATCTGAACATATATTTTTCCATAGCTTTATCTAGTCTGTTCTTGAACGCGTTCATACTTGGAGTGGATAATGGATAATCCCTTAGAAGTCTTATTCGCTATACATATGTACCTACAAAAGAGCACCGTTAAAGATGATATTCAGTTTTTTGGCAGGAAAGCTTACGTGCATGAGTGTTTACATGCTAATCGATGTAATTCTCAAATGCCGTGAATTCTTTAGTGAACGTTCATTTTATTTCCGAGAGGAAAAAGCAATGAGCTTAAGCTTTTAAATTTAGATTATTCAATAATATTTACTGTTATGCAAGTTTGCTCTCAAGCTAAGCCCTGCAATGCACCGTGTATTGAAAATGATATCAACGAAATATTCGCCTATAAATGCTAAGGTAATAAGGCGACATGTCTGTAGCACTACTTGCGGCAAGTACGATGCATTTCAAGCCAAATGAAAATGAAACGCGTTACATCGTTGATATATATAAATGCGTGCATTTAAGAGTTGGAGAATTAGCTATATTTTAGTATATTTTAAAATGGCAAACTAGAAAAGTGATACTTGTGTTGAGAAAATAGGAATAGTTATTTTATTTATTACTTGGATTGATGCAGTTATATTACGTGAATCAATATATGTGAATTAAGCCTATGGGTTAATGACCACTTTTAAAGAGTTTCAATGATAAAACACTATGATGAAAAAATAGGAGAAAGTTGAACATTCTATCATTTACATAGTTTCCTAATTACAGTACTGTCCTATCGCAGTATATTTACTTCTATGTTGTCCTTCATAGTACTTCCTTACACTGGTTTTACGAAATACCTTTTCATGAAACTCTTGGAGAAATAAGCTATCATAACTCATCTAATTATCTGCAATATACTAGCTTTTGATCACTAATAAAAATTTTAACTTAATTTCCGAAGTTTTATCTCCACTAGCGTCAGCCGATATCTACTTAAATCGTCGCTCTAAGCCAGTGATTCAAAACTAGCATTGAACTCGTCGATGTAACATGTCGATGTAAAAGAATAAATTTTCGGAAGAATTTCAAAATTAAACGAGAAAATTTCAGCGACTGACAAAAAATTCTGCCTTATGAACACAATTACAGTAACCACCGGAGATGAGGGTAAATTGGAGATATCTACGTAGCAGTGTTGCACTACTAGCGAATAAATTACGTGACGAATATCACAATTTTCAACTAAAATAAGGTTTACCAAGCTAAGCTATATACACTGACATTATTTAAAGCCAAATAATAATCCTATCATCAATCCTTCACCATAAACGATTTATTTTCATATTTTAATTGGTAAACCACTTTCTAGTTCAACCATGAACCACTCCAGTCTGCTCGCGGATTGCGATGTACCGGTTTCTATGGTAACAGAGGTTGTTACAAATTCTCTCGCTTTGCTGTAACAGCATTCACATTTTGACGGAAATCTATTCACAGCATTTGACGGAAATCTAGAGACCTTTGTGGACATAAAATTCATGTCGTAATCAAGAAGACTCAACAAGATCTGCTGAGGGTAACTAAATATCATAAGCATCTTATTTGACCTTAATAAGGCTTTTAGTTGTGTGCATCAGAAATGTTCAAGAATACGTTTCAGAGTGGATTTCTATCCATTCTCTACAGCATTGGCAGCAAACCTCTGCAAATTTGGGACAAAAAGGTAAGTTTTTTCTTACGTGTTTTGATTTCTTGGACTTGTTTTTAGAAGCAAGGGAGTATACACTTTCAACTTTCAAGGATATAAATCAGCTTCAAGAACTCTAGCCTTGCCATTTTGAAAAATCAGGGACAAACCAGGGGTTTGGAATACTGTCAAATTATGGCGTCAAACACGGTAATAAGGGACGGTTCTGATCATTTTTTGTTATAACTTCTTACCATGAATTCAGCTTCAGGCATGAAAGTGATGAAACATTTCATGATTTCAGAAACAAGTTTGAGACTTTGAGCTCATTTAAAGCTCTTTGCAACTTGCAAGGGCTATCAAATGGAATCTCCAAAAAAATTCCATATGCTATACGTGAGGCACCAGATGCAAAATAAAAGCATCCTGAATTACCCCTGAGATCGGAGTAATCCGGGATACTTGCCATAGAACTTAATTTTAAAATGTTTGAAGCATGCAGAGTGTACTCATCCATTAATCTTAAAACGTTTGAAGTGTCATGCAGAGTGTACTGATCCATTACTAACAAGTAACAGTAGGTACTCTGAAGTCCTCCTCTTTCATTGTAGATGATGTAGATGTAGAATAAATGACATTTTCTGTAATTTTTACTTGTTTTTCCTTTATTGAAATGATATTACGTTATTACCATATTCAATAATTACCGTATTATTGATGTGATATTACTGTATCCATGAACATACCATTGAGCATTTACAAGGACCTTGTCCACTGTTAGCTTCATATCAGCAGACAGCAGCCATATAGCACTTTTCTGTATCTGTAAGCCACTGTGCAGAGAGTGAACGAAGATTTAAAGACCTACGGCGACGCATTATCGGCAAAATTTTTGCCTTCAGAAGATCTTGCCGGCACATTTAGATTGAAATTCTTGCGTTTAATATATTTCTCAGTCTTCAGCCAACTATTTAGAAAAAAAGTAAGGTTTCCGGTACGTTGGATGGATTACAATGCAGCGAAGCTTGTCCGGAAATCAGTTGCGATGAGTTCCCGCAAAAAATGTAAACAACATTTTTTCAATTCCGTAGTTTCGGTCGCATTAGAGCGGTCAGACTGCTTTATTACTTGTTTAGTTGACACTTGCTGTACAATCGGACTGTTTTTAGGGTAAAATTAGTTATTTGGGGTAACACATGCATGCAACCTTGTAATAAGTTCGTGGCTTGTAAATAGTTTGTCATTACTCAGCGTAAATGGCTTTTCATTAAAAATTACCCGGCGACGCATCTTTAAAATGGCCGGCGACGCTTTGGGCTTAAAAATCCATATATTGCCGACACTGCATCCACCCTCTGCATAGTGGTAAGCTTACAGGATGGCTTGTAATTTCACATCATTTTAATTGGGTTAAGTGAATTTACTATAAAAAAGATTGTGAAAAACATACCTGAAAGGCTGAAACAGAAAGGAATGTTTTAGTGACAACTATCATATGTTTTGGAGAAATAAATCATATTTTCTGTCAATTAATTTTCATTCTATGATGCCCAGTGCACAATTCTATGTATGACATTCTATGCACAATTTTTTGATGACCAATGATGCATTAATTTTTCAATAAGTGAAATTTTTTTTTTTTTTGCTGAGCGAGGTAAATGTAATCAAAATTATTTGTTGTTAATCAATTTTTTTGTTAACTGGAGCCTTTGCTAACTGAGGTTCTACTGTAAATGCCTTTTTAAGGGTGCCCCTTATTACCCCGTCATGCGGAAATGGCTGCCATTTTTTTTTTAAATGAGAAAGACAAATTCAGTTAATCGTGTTTTCAAGCCAACACCTGTGTGCAACTTTTATGTAGGTAAAATTTTTTAATACGGCGAATATTCTTTTTGACCCAGACCTTAGTAGAGGTTTGTAGTGTTCCAAAATTGCACTTTTCACTCTTTTTTCAGTGATTTTTTAGCGATAGTAAATGTTTGATTTCTTGACTAGCTTTATACATAATAGATACATAGTAAAAATGTTGAAGTTTATGCCACTGTTTTTAGTTTTGCAATATTTTGATTAGTTTAGCTACTACAACATTTCTACAAAATGTGGGATGCGTGTCCCAATTTACCCCACCTGTCCCTCTTTACCCTGTTTGACGGGATATCTATTTTTCTGCAATATAAATCTATATTGTCTTTCTTGCCAATTTCCAGTTCAGGCAAGCAACCACCAACCAGATTCCTACTAGACGAAATACCTTCTATCTAATTAGTAATAAAAGTGATTACATGATGGAATTATAGGGTCTGGACAGTCACTTGAGTGTTGACTCCTGCTCCACCATGACCACTGGAGTGCTCCACACTCAAGGCCTGGGGGCCGGGGGGGGAGGGCAAAAGGTGCTTGAGGGCGGGAGAGGGGGGCGCAATTAGAGGGCTCTAGAGGGACGGTGGGCAGTGGCAGTGCTAGGTAAGGTTTCTAAACCTAGACCTAGGTTTTTTTACTTCCTGCTAGGTTTCTTGGTATTCCATTAACAAACAGATCTTAATCTACATTTTTTCAGGATGGTGCACTGAAAGCATAAATCAATCAATAATTATTGTCAAGAAAGAGAGAACTGCTGCAAGACTTCCGTGATGGAGGCATTTAGTTTATAGGAAATATGAAAGTAGATTACTGGTTGCAAGACATGCTGATAAAGCTGTTGTTTACCAGGGGGATGAGGAGGAATGATAATTGTAATATCTTAAATGACTGGGTGGGTGGTAATGGATGCTATCTATATGTACTATGGGTACATTTTTTCAGGTTCATAATGAGCGCATCAAGCATATCCCAGATGACATGAGTCACCAGTGCTAGAAATTGTTGATGCAAATGTAAGCATGACTTACACAAATTATAATCAATATTTGATTGTTTCAGGTTCGTAATGGACACATCAAGCGAATCACAGACAGTGACATACAGTCACTAGTGTTGGAAATTGTGGGTGTGAATGTGAGCACAACATACATCACATGTCCTGCTGATCCACGCAAGACACTGGGCATTAAGCTCCCTTACCTTGTTATGATCGTGAAAAATCTCAACAAATATTTCACTTTTGAAGTGCAGGTGAGTCATTATTCTGCCACTCTACTTTGTTTCCATCTAAGTTGTCATGCCCCATTAACCTCCCTTACAGTATTATGTTTTTTAGATATCTTATCTAATGTTTGACGTTCTAGGTACAGGTGAGTGAGAATCTTGTTTTGCTGTTCATTTTAATAAAAAATGTTATCATTACCATTGATGTTTCAAATTGTTACCTTTGCTTCATATTCTCTTTTATGTTTAAGTTGCATTTTATTTCTTTTCCTCAAAGTGCTTTCTAGGTAAAAAATTTCTGTGATGAATCTAAAAGATTTATAATAACATGCAATTAGTTTCAGTAATCATTGAATGACACAGAGGTATAAAGAATTATACCTGGACTGAAACAAATCTGTTTTGATGAATAAGTTTAAATTGCATTGATGTGACAATCTTCCATATTTTAGGCTAGATATAGGTAATGCATTATCTTCCTTGAATAGAATTCAATATCACTTTTATTAGTTATTGATCTGCTATTAATAAGTTTTTGAACTTTCACATGATGCTTATAATACTTGAATGGAATTTAAAAATTATCCCAATGATAAGCATTTATTTTAAATGGAGAGGAAGGGTAGGTGTTGCTAAACTTGATCCTGCATGCTTGAACCTGACAACTTTGTGCCAGCTCTAAATTTTATAATCTACCTACTGCATTAGGTACCACAATGAAATCTTTACTTAATCATGCAAAATTTTTAAAGTTCAGAATTTTATATTTTATGCCTGATATAAAGCTATGCATGGGCAACAGTTTTAGTGAACCCAACCTCTAACTATGTCTATTGTTATATTCATGTCATATCCACCCTAAATCTTTGCTTCGCAATCCTAGGTCTTGGATGACAAAAATGTTCGGCGGCGCTTCCGAGCCAGCAACTACCAGAGCACGACTCGTGTGAAGCCTTTCATCTGCACGATGCCCATGCGCCTTGACGAAGGATGGAACCAAATAGTCTTCAACTTGGCCGATTTTGTCCGTCGGGCTTACGGCACGAACTACGTTGAAACTCTGCGTGTGCAAATTCACGCCAACTGCAGAATTAGAAGAGTGTATTTTGCTGACCGCTTATATTCTGAAGAAGAACTGCCCGCTGAGTTCAAACTCTACCTCCCAGTGCAGACCAAAAGCAAGCAGGCTACTGCTCTGTAGTGCCTTACAACTAGTCTACATTTTCATCTAGCACTCCTTGCTTTAACCCTATTTGTACTCAAGGTACCTCTTAATACCAGTATACTTCAAGTACGACTAGTACCATTAATAATCGGATGTGTGTATATCCGTAGAAAAATGGTTAAGCAAGTCAGTAAAAAAAGTCATCAAAGAAAACTGTAGAAAGATAGAGATTTACAGTAGGTAGTTTGATCGTAGAGGCGACGTTTGCATACTCGTTACGATTTCAATACAGCGTATGCGTTTTCTGTTGGTTGTTTATTTCCGTTAACTTTGAAGTGATCCCTTCATACTCCCTATGCAAGGGCCAGGAAATTTGTGTGTATTCATGCAATTTCATATATTATGTTCTTACCACCGAATTTTCGCAGCAATTTTTAACTTTAATGACGTAAATTAAATGCGTAAAAAAGTAAAGCATGAAGTACATACCCGTTTGCAGTGAACAATAATGAATTTAAAATTGTTTAAAGTTCTTGTATGTCCATGATTTGACAACGCTATTTTGAAATGTGTATCTAATGTATCTGGGTAAATTTGATGTTGCGCGAGTGAAGGAAGGAGATACTTAATGTTTCTGACTAAATGTGACAGTATAACTAGATAGTGAAGGAACGAGCGCATCCATTGAGAGTGTTTCTGCTCTGTCGCCCCCTTCTTCTGCTGAATTATTAGGATGCGGTCAGTCATGCAGTGAGCGGGTCGTTGGCCTAAATCCTTAACATTTTTACCATGTACGTACTCAATTTTTACTAATAATTTTCAAAGATAATTCTTCATGACAATTTTCAACTTTGAGTTTGATCGCCATGCACTGTTCGTTCTGCTGAAAACTATTTTGAAAATTCCTGTGGTCGCATTTTTTATTTGAAATTTAATTCTCGGTCTATGTCTCATCATCGTTTTGGATGTTATTACTTCGATAGAATTTGTGTTCCTATTATTCATGATACTTCTTTCCTCTCACTGATCTTTTTTCGTGAAATGTGTTGAAGCTTTCTATGAAGTGGCGGCGTGATTTACAGCAGTTCAGATACAACTACAGGTGCATCACACAACAACTGATGTAAACTGAAGTCTTTGACAGATTAGGACTATTTAATTCTCACTACAGGTACACCGTACAACAACTGATGTAAACTAAAGTCTACGACGGATTAAGACTAGGTATTTAATTTTCATAAAACTTTTAAATTTCGTTTTACAATTGTTTTACTTTCAGAAATATGTCTTTACCTAAGAAAGTTGCGGCTTTGGTGACCGAGAACGCTATCTTTCCAGTATTGCAATTGAGACGCACTGTCTACACAAGTTTGTTGTTTATTCATGGATGTGACCGAGATATTTCTGGGGCCATACTTTCAAAACTCGCTAAGTGAACGTAAGTACTTACGCTCTATTTTCTTGTCTATGATTGGTGGATTTTGCTTGAAAGGCCGTCAATGATTGGCGGTTGAACTAAAGATCTCTTAATTTTTTTTTTTTTGAAAGTTTAGGCCCTGGTAGACGGTTTCTGACAACGCGCAATCGTCTCCTGGATAATTTTGTTGTACAACGATATTTATCTAATTTTAGCATGTAATTTTACGTATAAATAGATTATCACGCGAGTATTTTAATTGCACTATTTAGGCTGCACTTCACCAGTCCTGCGTGGACAATTCTCAACTGATCAATGCTAAATTTGATGAACAAAGAGATATTAATCCGAACCATTCTGGTGCCATTTGTACTCTATTTAGAGAACTGCATTGTGGCGGAATACCACCAGGCGTTTAACGAGTTTAGCATTCATTTACATTCCTTTCCTCAGACGTGAGGATATTTTTACTCGGACCTAAAGATAATTTCCCTCTGACATATTTTTTCTCGAACATGAGGAAATATTTTCACGGAAGTTGAAAGTGAGGATTGCCTAAAGAACTTTTGATTGGAAATGTCCTTATCCTCTTCATATCAGAGATCATTTTCCTGACGATTAAATATCCTGATTCAAGATGCAAGTAATTTTAATAGTAAATCTAATTTTAAAAATATCATAAGTATCGCCATATTTTCATGACAATACGAGAAGAAATGTTTCGGCGCCAGAGAGTACACTTTGCAAATGATGTATCTTGACTGGCAAATTCTGTGCATTTAAGCTGGCGATTATTCTCTGCCAATTGAACGGTTATGGTGAATTAATGACGATATTATCACCCGGGAACAAATGCTCTTCTTGTTTGCTCGGGGTGATTTTGGGTATTTCGCGTGTGCTTCTGTTTCGCGGAATGTACTGAATTTCGAAACTTAATACTCTATCACCTTCACAAATATACTTCACTCGTTGAGAGTCATTTTGTATCACCTATTGTACATATCTTCAAGTAGAAGGAGATGAAGAAGAAAGAATAAGAAGAAACTAACCCTAATCATCGCATTGATTATTTTTTGGACTAAATCCCATTTCACGATGAACGCTCAAGGTATGAGGGTTAAGTCAAGTAAATTAATGTTACTATAATTATTGAAACTACGAAAATACTATTGCCTCTTACAGTATCTTAAATAGTAAAAGTGAAGTCGACAGAGAGCGTACTTCTTTAGGGAACTGCCGAAAAAGAAGACAAGTGAAAAATTCTGGTAATTACTTTTTCGTGCCTTTGTTTAAGACGAAACGGCTGTCTGGCAATAACTGGTCTACTAAATATCAGCTGTTGCCGCATCTTGTTCTGGCATCTTGCACCCTCAGCCAGCAAAGCAGCACGAAACGACGGAAGATCAAATGGTTTTAGGAAAAAATTATTGAATAAATCAACAAAAATTCCTGATATATCATTGAGAAACTTTATGTAGGATTGTATGATTCAGTTTAAAGCAGTCGGACTTACGAAGTACGACAATTCGTTGGTGGTAACCATTTTATCTGAGACTAATAATCTTATCTTCGTTGCCAGATTACGTCAGGTAATGTCACATTGTGCAATGAAAATCATATGTTTCACTTAATCTATTCTATCATCATTCACTTATTCTATCATTCTATTCAATTTTTTTCATTTCCAAATCCTGTATGAATAATTTTTAAATAAATAACAATTTCAAGCATTTATTCTCCCGATTCTACTTATTTTTAATATAGATTTCTTCCCCTTGAAGAAGGTTAAGAATTTTTCAAGGAATTTAATGTTGCGCGAGTGATTGTATTCATAGTTGAGAGTCGAGGTCTGGGGCACTGGTCTTGAAAAAACATTCACCAACTCCAAAAATTTATTGGGAAAAAATAATAGAAATGAAATATTGGTAAATTCACTTTATGTAACGTTGACCTGTTGTCATACTTCTCAGAGTAAAAAAAAAGAAAACAAATATCGAAAAGAAAGTTATTTTCAAGGCATTTTTCGTGGAAAAACCATCAAAGCAAATAGTTAAAACATTTTATGTTAACCAACAAACGAATTTTGAACACTAAAGTGTAGAATCCGACGAAGTCGAATATGGTATTTACCTAGTATATTGTGTGATTAGAAGTTTATCAGCAAATTGCTGCTATTTTCCTAAATAGAGGGTGCGCCAGAGAAACTTATTTATTTGATAGGTCAATAAAAACAATAGTACTGTTAGAAATTTCCACATTCCTTAGGTTCTAAGTTTCTTTTTCTTCATACCTATTGTTTGGTATGAATTTTTAAATAGTAAGAGTTGGCTGAATGACTTATCGATGGAAACATCCGTTTAATTTTGCTCCGTATGAGTGTATTAAGCCATTCCTTCCTAATTTCTGTATTAAAGTTTGAGTGATCACTCTTTGTTTTTCGTTTTATTTATTTTCGCCTATTATGCATGTTCGTGCTTTCTTTGCTTAGGATAGGGCCGACTCCAGCGTTGAATTTGGGCTTTGCCTTTTCTTGTGGTATGATCACTTTAACTTTCGAGCTTCGGCTTTTTACTAAAAATAAATATTTGTTCCTCACCTTTTGGGAAAGCTTGGCGCTTTCCTAAGCTCAACTTGTTAGTTAATTATTGCCCTCCCTTTCTACTTTCATAATTTCCCTTTATATGGCCTCTTAACAAGCCTCTTAAAGTTACAGCTTAATTAACCGCTTGGTGGCTTAAGATTTTAAGGTGGGTCCGAGGCAGTGGATATAGTGACATACAGTATATGCTCTTGGAGCTATAATTTTGATTACCAAGTACCTAACAGTTATTTATTTCTTTCATTCGATAGAATAACTGCGTATCCAGTGGGAAACAACCTTCGTTCTATCTTTTGGTGACTTTCAGCAACAGCTTGCGATAGAGAGAACCTTCAGTATATCATGGTGTGTAAGAGGTGTAAAGCTTTGCTTCTGTGAATGTATTTGATTGAAACTTATTTGAGACATTGGGATACTACTACTATAATGCAGAATTGTAAAATTTATTCGATATTTCTTGCTTCTACAGTTATGTTGGCCGGGTTTATTCGTCGGCATAACGGCGATAACCTGTATCTGAACCGCTGCCAAGCGTTAATTTCGGGACTTGGTTCAATACTTGATATTTGTGAATGCGTCTTCTTTCTCGAGCTTTGGACCAGTCATCTCTGAAATAAAAGTTCCATTTGTTTACTGTTTTTGTATTGCGCCTAACAGTACTTCAACTACTATATTAAAATTTTTATTTGATAATAAAATTTCTCAATTTTTTTCATACAGTCTTGAAAATGACATCGGATAAATGGCGACCCCCATTGCGCATACACTGATGAAGTCGATTTTTTACATTCGTATCCACTCTTTGCAGCATATCAATCGGTATGTTGGCAATGGAGTCGCGAATGTTGTTCTCGGTAATATGTGTTAACGAATGTGGTAATGTGTGTTAGCGAATGTGGTAATGTGTGTTAGCGAATGTTGTAATGTGTTGTCAGCGAAGAGCTCACATCAGTATTTCATTTTGTTGTCAATGTACCCTGCAAAGCTTAGAAACGAAATATCTATTATTGAAGTTTTGAAAAAGCGAAACAAGTATATGATGCAAATTATGCATAGAAAATACCGGCAGCGGAATTCAAATCTTGTACTGGCCAATGTTATTGAGTTAGCGCAGTCACCCTTCCCTCTGCCTCATGACGCATCGCCATGTACAGAAGATTGCACCACGTTGTTGTCGCGCGGCTGGCAGGGCGGCGAGTATATATAACCTGGCGCTTGTTGTTCTGCTCAATCAACTACCAGACAACGTTAGAGGTGTGCACGACCTCCTACTTACCTCCTACCTGTGAAATCCCCGATATTGCTTGGCATTAGAGCTTTTGACATCATAACCAAAAGTATATATCCTCTGCTGAAGAGAGAAATGGCGGAGTGTTGTGAATATGAGAGTCAAGATAAAACATCTACCGAAGTAACGGGGATCGATTCACCTGTCGGAATGTCGGCCACAAGCACTGCAGCCAATGGTGTGGATGAAACCGTGTGTGAATTCTTTCGCCTTGGAAAATGTCGGTTTGGCGATAAGTGTCGAAAAGCTCATCCAGATGATATGGAAATCCAATCACCATCAAAAAAATTCACCAAGAAAAGAATGAAGCCGAAAACCCCCGATGACGTCATTGTTCCGAAGAAACCACCAATGAAGACCGCCGGCGATGTGCGCGATCGTATATTGTGGGACGAAGCCCTCCCGGCCGAGTACTTTACCATTGGATACGTTGATCGATTTGCCGGCTTGGTCGAGAAGCCTTTCGTGACTTTCACTTGGGGTGATTTGTGCGACGCTGGACCTGATGACTTGGCCATACCTCAACACTGCATTAGTTACTTTAAATACAAAGGCGAGAAAGTGTGGGATAAGGAGACTCGAATGGATCACGTCTTCGGCAGCGCAGGTAACGAAGTGAAAATAATTGAGAAAATGTGCTCTATAGACCAGGATATAGCAAATAAACTTGCCGAAAAGAATTCTGATGATGAAGACTCAGATGAAGACATAGGTTTCGATCCTATTCCTTCTAACTTTTCGAGTGCAGTTAGTTCCAAATTCGATGACCCTAATCTGAGAGCTTCCCATTTTCTATGCATCAAAGTTACCAACGATGAATTGAAGCAGCTAGCTCGCACAGTTCAACACGATGTAGTGATGGCAGATCCGACACTGAGGAGCTGTGTTATGCCCACTGACTTGTTCCACGTAACCTTGACAATGCTACGCTGCAATTCGATGACAGCAGTCGTGCGAGTGAGCAATCTTTTGCAAGAACTTCAACCTACGTTACAAGAACTGCTTAAAGGAAGCTCGGGTGCCACCAGCTCACAACGGCTCATCAAAGCTAGCGGACTCTCAACGTTTGGAGCTCGCGTGCTTTACGTCAAATTAGAGGTTACTGAAGCTTTCTCCAAAACTGTTCGGACGATTCAAGAGAAAATTCGGATGATGCAAGACGTGAATGTAACTAATAATTTTAATTTTGTTCCTCATTTGACGTTATTGAAAATCAGCAGACCGACTGAGCGTGAACGCCGGTCTAAGTACATGAATTCCAGTTTATATAGCGACTATTTAGATCAAGAATTCGGAACCATCACTTTCGATAATATTCATTTCTGTTCAATTGATGAGAATCGAGGATATGATGGCTTCTACCAAACAGCATCCTGTATAACTTTCTGAGTAATTTTAAGAGATATTATCATACGTAAATTGACTAACTTTCGCCTAGACTAAAATTAAATTAAAATTTTATTATATCTAAAATTCAATTTTTTTTAATATATTTTGTCTGTGTCTCGACATTAAACATCAATCTAACTAATTTAGTGTATACAATATTTTGCGAGAATATGTTTTGTAGTTGTGTTATATATGTTATAGGCAAAGAATTACATCAAATAAAAATTTAAATCGTATTCACGCCAGCGTGTATTTTACAGAAGCTTTTCCGAATCGTTAAAACTTTTCTTTCCCAATATTTAATTTTTAACGTAGTATTACACATTATGCAGACGCATACTGTATAGTGCTGGTTCAAATGTATTATTAGAATTATATTTAATCTAATCACCTTCAACTGTTTTAATCATCCCTGTTTCTCTCATAAGAAAAAAGTAAACTTTTTCAATGTTCATAATGTATCTCAGTGTCTCACACGTCATACATATTTGAACACCTTTTATAACTGAACGAGCAATGGCATTTCCCATTCGTTAACACAGCGGAAAATACTGAGACCTTTGTAAATATAGCAATCGAATATTACAATTTCTTCTACATGGAAAGATAAATTGCACCACTGAATAAAGTCTTTAAAATATATTTTTTTTTCACGTAGCCGTCCACATTTTATACGTACAGTGGAGTCAATAATTTTTTCACGTAACTGTACACGTTTTGTACGTACAGAGGAGTCAATAATTTTTTCACGTAACTGTCCACATTTTGTACGTACAGAGGAGTCATGTTCCACAGATAAGAGTGGCAGTATTGATATCTAAATGCAATTGTGATCTTGGGCTTCACGCAGATAAGCTGATAGAGAAGATTCAGCTGCTTGAAATGATCAGTATAGTAGCTGATTAATTTACTGGCTTTTGACTGGTTAAATTATTATTTGTTATCAACCATTATGATTAGTAAAACTCCTGATAAAATGCCTAAAGCGTTTATTATTCGCTATAATGTTTATTAAGGTGTTACGTATAGGTATTCACTCTACTATCATAACGAAGTGTTCTCGTAGATTATCGTTTAACGGAGTAAGAATTTAATTATTCAATAGATTGGTGCAAAAATGGAGCGATACCGGAAAGAAACGTTGTTTTATGTGTTTATTATACCCTCAAATATTAGGGCTAAATCGGCGATAACAATAAGAAAGCCATTCCTAAGTACAAAATGTCGCTACATTTATCTAAATTCTAATTAATAGCAGACTAAGAATGATATGCTAGCACATGAATCGCTGACGAATATATTTGCGTCAGTAATTGAACATATGTGAACTCGATGTACTGCAAGAAATGACGCATTGCACGGTAACGTGTTAAGAAAAAAATTCACGTGAATTACTTTACCGATGTATTTTTAATGTGCAGATTAATTAATATGAAAAACAGGTTTACGGTATGCTAAATGATGGACTTAATTTAATAAGTTCGTATATATTTATGTATGAATTCAAAATGAATAATTCATACAGGAATGTTAAGATGAAAATTCAAATTATTTTTACATATTTGTAAATGTTCAATATGTCTTCCTTGCGCTGCACGGCAAACATCTAAACAGTAGCCAAACTCGTCCCACACACGAGACAGCATATCTTCTGTTACGGAGTGCACCGTAGCAGTGATACGCTTCTTCAGATCAACCGGAGTTGCTGGTAGAGGCGGGACGTAAACAGAGTTGCTGGTAGAGGCGGGACGTAAACAGAGTTGCTGGTAGGGCCGGGACGTAAACAGAGTTGCTGGTAGAGGCGCTGGTAGAGGCGGGACGTAAACAGAGTTGCTGGTAGAGGCGGGACGTAAACAGCTTCCTTGACGTAACCCCATAAGAAATAGTCACAAGCGATCAGGTGATATCGGTGGCCAGAAGTGACGTGTAGAGCCAGATCTTCATTTCCTATGCGTCCTACCCAACGCTCAGGAAGCGATTGATTCAAAATATTTTCTTTCTGATACCAATAGGGCCGTCCAATTCCGATTTGAATAGGTTAAAAAAATTTAATGTTTCTCTTTACTTACATGTATAAATTATTTATTTTGAATTTATACTTAAATAAGTATGAATTAATTGCTTCAAGTCCATAATTTAGAATAACCCTGTATTATGTTGGGTGAGCTAGTGTACACTCACTGGGTTAGTCCCAATCAAGCACAGATGTAATATTTGTACAATCCCAAATAATTGACTGGTATGCCCAATTAGGAATTGTGGCTGAAAACAATAATTTTTTCCTTAAATATTGCAAGATGTGCTGTTTTACACAAATTTCTCAATCTTTATAATTCTTATTAAATAGCCTTCTGAATTACCACATGAGAGCACATGAGAAACTTGAATTACGTTTTATTAGTAACCGAATAACCGAACCAAACATTATGTTTAATGATAGACATGACTAAATATTCTCAATTAATGATTATAAATTAATCAATATGCAAGAACAGTGTGATACGGCATCATGAATTGCAAAATGATATAGGAATAATATTGGATATTCACTTTGTGTTGCAGTTCATGGAATGATCATTTGCTGCATGATTAAGATACCGTGATCACAATAAATATTTAAAACTAATTTCTGAAGCAAAAGAGCCAATGGCCCTGGCCTAATTGCCAATTGACTTTGACAAGCCGTCTCAAGATGAACAAGAGCCTGAAAACTTTCGGCAGTGTAGTTCGAAAAAAACAATGCCTTCCATATCTACAAACAACACAATATCTAAACAAAAGCAGTAAAACAACGTTAGCATTTAAATTGATGCATCCGAAAAATACTACTCTTGGATCAATGGACAATACTTTGTAGACGTTAGTCGCTTGATGAAAGAACACATAGTTTTCAGCATTCGGTCCAATACAAATGAGACCCCGACAACTGATAGTTTACTTAGCAGTTGACAGCATTGAACTATCTAACTGATAAAAACGTGTAACATTGTATGCACTCTGTGAAGCAAAAATTCAACAAAATTCAGCCTCAGTTCAGCAGTGCAATTCTGCTATCATTCATTAAAATTTCATAAAAATCATATTCGTAACAACTTGGTCTTCAACGAAACTTAGTGGGATGCTTTTGTCGCTTTCTACGAGACTGGACAATAATATCATATTCGATTCACTGATGGAAGTTTGCGGGTTTACAGATATGACAAAATTAACATAAATTGTTATGTATTAGCTCCTGGTAAGTGTAGTAGTACTATATGAACGAAACTAATACGTTCATAACACACTAGCAATGAACATGTTATCTAATCTTGAAGAAGATTTTTAACATTAAACACGACGAAATTTGCTAACAATAACTATAGCTAAAAACCAAACATATTCAACCATGATTTTCGCTTCGTATTTTTATACTTCAATGTTTTGCACTTGCTGTCATAGATGAACCATTTGTCCAAGTCATCATAAACTTTGATGGTTTTATCATGATGTAATTTATAGCACATATGGCAGATCTCCTCGACGCTGCCATGGTAAGGGTTGAAGATTTTGAACTTCGACCTCCATCTGAAGAAATACATGATAAATTAATTGACAAGTTTTACAAACTAGATAAATTCAAAGGTATGTTACGTGGAAATGAACGTTAGTATGAAGAAAATTTCATCACCACGATATGAATAAAAGTGATGGATTTAGAAAATTCTTCTCATACGCAGATAGAACCACTTAAACCACAAACCACTAAATAAAAAAATATATATATATAGGTATATATACATATATATTATATAAATAAGTATGATGAATAGACACACTACAGAAAAGAAATTCATTTTTGTGCATCATATATAGGTACATGCTTGGAAAATTATACAAACTTTTTTATTCGTTTTCTCTGCATTAGAGATTCACAGACGTCAGGCGATCATTACGAACAAAGATGTAATCACTGCTATGGCCACTTATGACAACGCTGAGTATTATGAACATTATTATAGTAGAATTATACCTTGAATTCCCATAATCTCGTGTATTGTAAAGTCACCGAGGAACATGTTTTAGTTTATTTTCGGTGTTAATATTTAAAATAATTTAATTCGAATAGGGTATTAATAAAAAATGGTTAAACTTGACTTGAGAATACTTTTTAAAATGCAAGTTCTGCTGCTAGTCGACCAAAATAATGCTTGAGGAGAAGTATAATAAATACCTGAGAAACAATAATAAATATAAAACCAGCAGCTAACGAACAAACATGGTTACAGGTAATTATAGTAACGCACTCGAAGTACTGGTTATAACAGAGTTACAGGTAATTATAGTAACGCACTCGAAGTACTGGTTATAACAGAGTTACAGGTAATTATAGTAACGCACTCGAAGTACTGGTTATAACAGAGTTACAGGTAATTATAGTAACGCACTCGAAGTACTGGTTATAACAGAGTTACAGGTAATTATAGTAACGCACTCGAAGTACTGGTTATAACAGAGTTACAGGTAATTATAGTAACNGTGTACCTGGGTCATCAGAGTGGGTACCTGGGTCATCAGAGTGGTACCTGGGTCATCAGAGTGGTACCTGGGTCATCAGAGTGGGTACCTGGGTCATCAGAGTGGGTACCTGGGTCATCAGAGTGGGTACCGGGCCATAAACAAACAAGGGAATGTTATAGGGAATAAAAACACTAGATTCGCTATATAAACTTAAAATAACTTTTTAAATTGTCAATTAAATATAGCAATAGTCTGCAAACAAATTAAATTCATTCAGACGACGACAATTGTGAAAAGCATTATTGTAAAAAATTATCCATCTATTCAAATGAATGAACGATTCAAATGAAAAATCATCATTATTTCCAGTTTTCGCAATATCGGCTGCACTGGCTCCATGATTTGAACGCTTGACTCTTCTAGTAATCTTGTCTAAACAGAAATCATTAATATTTTTATGTAATCAATTCAGCATATGGGTTTTCCAGGTTCTATATCACAAGCGTAGCATCGGCCATCGTGCCTTTATTGCGCGACTTGTGAGCAAAAACGAAAAAGCAAAAAATCGTAAACGCCGTATACGATTTTTTTTGTGTCGCACCGTAAGAAATACACGAGTTAGGCCAAGTGAAGTGTTATAAATATAGTATGACACTATTTTTTTTAGTGCGGAGCATTCCGAATAAGCATAACCAGCAAACAGTGATTTATTATCTGTTAAAAATCTCAATTTAATGAGATTCTCAGGACGCTATATGTATCTCAAAGCTTATGCTAAGACCTCACCGAAGGGTATCGAAAAGTTTTTCAGTCGCGTAATCTTTGCAGAGAGAATTTTCAAAGGCAAGGTAGAACTTGTAATTTTCTTCCAGCATCCGACGACAGCTCACCGAGTCCTCGCGGCCACACTTGAGCGGCCCACACCGGCCGTATACGTCGACCTGCGAGCAACCACCAGACTCAGCATGAACAAAATCAACTGGTGCAGCCGTATGATATGTAGTGCTTCTTGGTAGAGATAAAAAACAGCCGGGTGCAGCCGTATGATATGTAGTGCTTCTTGGTAGAGATAAAGCCGGGTGCTGCCGTATGATATGCGGTGCTTCTTGGTAGAGATAAAAAACAGCCGGGTGCAGCCGTATGATATGCGGTGCTTCTTGGTAGAGATAAAAAACAGCCGGGTGCAGCCATATGATATGTAGTGCTTCTCAATAAAGATTAAAATCAACCGAAGGCAGCCATATGAAATTCAGAGCTTCTTAGTAAAGATAAAAATCAAGCGAAGACAGCCATATCATATGCAGTGTTTTTAGTCATGAAAAAATCAACCGAGAACAACCATTAGATCGGAAGACATTTTCAACGATTGAAGGTAACAAAAAATGCTAATATCCACCACATGCAATTCGGGAACGCACCAAAAAGTTCTGAACGATCTATAGATCAAATTACATCGAAGAATTTCTCGAGCTGTCGGGCGATTCGGTCTCGTCCAGAATGTGCGTTGCAATTGGAAACGAACCAGGCAGCCATCTTGGGCTTCGGCAGCGGCCTGGTCTCGAGGGCTGATTTGGGCTTCGAAATTTCTTCTTTGGACAGCGGAATGTAGCGGCCAGGGCTGTCAACAAGGGTGAGGGGATCAGGAATTATCATGGTGAATAGGAAAAAGGCATAACAAATATCAAATATGCCATCTTAGTGATAATAACAAAATAAATCTAACATGGTCAGGGAATGCATATTAAACCCAAATGATTGGGTGATCAGATTTCTTGAAGATGCCACCAATTTAGTGTCGAATATCCCGCCCATTTCTAAGCTGCTTATCATTAGGTAAAATAACAGTAACTAACTATGCTCGCAACACTAACATGACAAGCAGAATATTCTCATATATCAGAGAGCACCATTTATTATTTGGTTGAATTTAAATATTCCTGGATGATAAACCTTAAGCAAAAATATAAATTCGGCACTCTTTTTCGCTAAATAATCTTAGTGCATTTCCGTTAAATTATTTCAATGTATACGATTTTGAAACATTTCAGATTAGGTTATTCCATATTAATTTATTATTTCGCAGAGGCATGTTCTTCAACAAACATTTCATTGTAAAAACATTGATATTTATGTAAAGATTTGCACTAGAAGTTAACCTCTTGTCAGCCACGATCTGAGAAATTGCTAAATTATGAATCTAATTCATCACTCACTTCATTCGTTCACAAGGAATCTCTTTCATACCTTGTAAGGAATTAAATATTTTGCCAGTGATGAAAATCAGAGCGATGACGATAAGCTTAATTAATGGATGATTTTACCACACCTCATGACGATGTCCGCGTCTACCGCACCTCATGACGATGTCCGCGTCTACCGCACCTCATGACGATGTCCGCGTCTACCGCACCTCATGACGATGTCCGAGTCCGTACGGTAAGTGAAGGTCCAGTTGAAGAGGCCGTTGTACGTGTGCGGATACTGGAAGACGTAAGATGCAGGCTCCGATTCACGGAAAACCCAACGTTGAGAAGGCGTCCTAATAGCAGAAAATTTTTACAAATAAAATTACCGATTGCATTGCATAATCATATTAAGTACCTACTGCAATTTGAGATTAAATCTCAACAAGTGCAAGCGGAAAATTCGAATGGCAGGTGAGAACTCTTTAGTCCAAAGAAATGAGAAAGAAATATTTCATCTATAACGACAGAATTAGAATGAAATATGGTGACCTCATATCAACCTTTTCCTCGGTTCCTAGTAGCAATAATTACACATGGAGTATATATTTTCGAAGCTAAACAGCATAATCGCAACTAAGATTCGAAGCATGCAGCAGCGGATTGTTAGTAGCTCACACATTCACTCCTCAAACCATAAACATTCGTCGTTCATGAATGGAGTCACGGAGTCTGGGTATTGCCATACCACCTACTAAAAATTTGTGCAACACATTGCGGAAGTCTTCTGAAATGAAGGCAATTTAGACGACATTTTACTATAAAAAGAATTTCCACACCTCATCAGAGGCAAGTCGTCTGGCGTGGTGGCCCTGAAGTGGAAAATAATAGCGTCGTAAGTCTGCACAGGCTGAGCTTGTTTCTTTCTTGACATTATGACGCAATTGGGCTGAGGACAACCCATGCGTTCCAACTCGCGTTCATCGCCGTCGGCCAAACCTTCAGCCGGCAGACCGTAGCCCTGCAGGGAGCAAGAGTCACGTTACGCATAATTCTGACATGTTGCTACAATCATTGCCTCGTGAGTCGGCATTGATTTAAAGTCGCTACTTTCCGATTAAAAGATATATCTCTTTAACAAATTTAAACAATAATTTTCAGTTCAGTAATAGTTAAATTCGAAAATCTTCTGTATATTTGACGGTATTAATCGTTTTTAGATAATTAAAAGCGGTGAGTTAAGTGAAGTGGCGAATGGCGACTCAAGTCTCGAGCGTTATTGACGGTAGCAGACGGTAGCTCTATTTTCAGTACCGGTACCGGTAATGGTTAACTATTAAAGTTACAATTGAGTATATAATGTGCTTCTAAGTCAAAGTATAATAAGAAAAAGACAGGTTGTCTTTTATAGCTTGAAGCCTCCGATCCTTTGCATCGGATAACACAATCGGTCAAATGGGCTGGGTTCAATACAAGTCAAAATTTTTCTACTATAAAATATATAAGAAAATAAATTATCTGTGTTCGAAGAAATACTTAAGAAACTTTTTCCTAGATATTAGATTTGAAGGCGTAAAGATGCTTTCAAAGTTTTAGCGGCATTCTTTGAAATAAGTACAATCGAATAAGAGCATTGCGTTCTAATAAAACCCCGATTCCCTTAAGAATAGAGCCACGTTTCCCATCACGCACACGAGCTCATGTACATCCCGAATTAACGTAGGACGAACTTTATCATTCACATTTGCGGATCACGTACATGCGCGTTTCAATCACCAGCGATTGTAACGGTGGTTCAAACATTCCGCGGCCTCTGGTCTCAAAGAAGGAACCGGCACTTGGTTCTCACGCGCGTATAGAGAACATGCGGCGGAACTTCTCAACCGACGCTGCGCGTACGGAATACCGTAGACATTAGCAGTCTTGAAGAAAAAAAATTTACTTCGCCGTTGCACTACAAACAACTTTTATTGATCGGAAAGTCCGGTCAGAGTATTTCGCTCGTTGCAAGAAGCGTTTTATTCATATTCTTCTGGACTGTTCATACCAAAGGCCGACTTCAAAAATAACAGAAAGGGCCAACAATATATAATTAAGAAATATTTTGACTGTAATCTTTATATTTAAACTTATCACGCCGGACAAATAAGGTGACCGAGGCAAGTCTGCTTCACGCAAATTTTTAATCGACAAACGTGAAGTGCTGAACTCATTCTTAGGTGAAAGTTACCGAGAGCGACACACTTTGAACAATAATTAAGTTAGGTGTCGCCACACGAGGCACAATTAAGACAGCTTTTTAATTCACTTCTCACTAAATTATTATAGTAAATTATCATGATGATAACATTCTAAAACTGTGCCGGTTGTTATAAGCAATAATGAAATGCTGGTACCTAAATGTTAGACATAGTATATTTTATGTGGAACAATCTCGTGTGAACAATTTCAGCAATAATTGGAGTTCAACATGCAAAACATCGATCCAAAAAAAGCATAGGAAACATATTCACAAACTTATCGGCTATATGCATAGTCAGTCACTTGAAGATGGGAGGCGCCGGACCATCATAGTAACAAGGAAATGTGTAGAGATTGAACTGCCTGTTTTGAGTTATTCAAGAGTACTACGTACAAATAAAAATAGATTTGAAAAGAGCAGAATACGCAAATGATGCAAGGTGTTTACTATACAAACGTTGTCGCAGACAAACACGGCAAATATAAAAATGACGAAATGTGGATAAAGTACTCACGGTATTCCAGGCAAGCATGACAAACAAAACAATGAAGAAAGATCTATAAAATGCTCACGTTGTTCCAGACGAGTATGGTTTTTAGTAGCGATCGATTGAAAGGTACTGGCTTGACTCCGTCAAAGTCAGCGATGTACGAGACATCGATCTTGTCTGTGTTCGCTACTTCATCCGTTGAGGAACGGTTGTAGTGATACTTTAATGCCTCGTCGCTGGATAGAACAATTTCATCGGACAACTCGAAGAATATCTCTGGTGCTCTGTAGAATGAATAGATATTAATAATTCATCATCGCTCTACAAAATGAACACGCGTAAAATTTTAGTTTGATTAGATGCTATAATTCTCAGTCCATACGAGTAGGCTTTACTGCAATAATTTAATTAGTTAAATATACTTATATCCATGCTTCGTGATTATTAACGTCCAGGATATGCAAAATTCCAACGATTGTGTCGTTAATAAATTAGTGATTTGAAATTCAGGAAAGTTAGAAATAGAGTATTTCATTAGTTAGTTGGAGTGATAAAATACTTCCGCTGCTACGTCATAATGAAGCTCAACGTCGAGTTGAAACCAAAACCATAATTTCATGTTAAGGGGGAGGTATACCCTCCGGAAAAACTTTTTTGTTTACGGACGGATCTTTCTGAAACTTCACACATATATGTAAAACCGCAAAAGAATCACATTTTGTTCGTGTGATTTTTTTCGAAAAAAAGCATAGAAAACGTGAAATTCGTAGAAAACGGCCAAAAAGGGGGTACTACGGAAAAGCCTACTCCTCCTAGCCTCCTAGAGTTTTAAAGCTACAACGATGAGACATATACCATTCCATTGGTAAAGACCATACCAATCGAGTAACGAGGCCCGATTTTTTATTTTTGCCTTTGTTTTTTTATACGCATTTTTCAATTTTTTTCATTTTTTCTCATTCCCCCCCATTCCCCCCCCCCCTTCCCCCCCATTTTGAATCAAAACTATGCACAAATCTAAAAAAGGGCCGTATTACTGCATAGGTATGGTCTTTACGAATAGAATGGTATATGTCTCATCGCTGTAGCTTCAAAACTGTAGGAGGAGATAGGTTTCCCGTGACAAAAAGTTGAACTTTTCAGGACAGCGCGACAAAGTTCCGTGCGCCTTGAAATAGACACTCAATGTAGCATTGAGACCAAACTACAGGCTTCTGTAGCCTAATTCCACTCAAGGAAGCTAGCAGCGTCTTGCAGCACACATCTCCGTATGAAGCAAGCAGGGTAACTGAGCCTTGATGCCAGATACACCAATATATGTAGTCTTAGCGAGTGAATTAAGTCCTATCTATTTTCTGAAGGAAATCCACCCCCGCCCCCCCTTTAGAGCCCTGCTGCTGTGTGCGTTAAAATTCACTCACAGCTATCGCAGTAGTATCGTTGAAAAGCTCAGAATGTCAGCTTTAAGATGAGACTAAGCATGTAACTGCAGCACAACTCAAGTAGAAACTATATTCAAAGATTTCAGCAGCTAATTACTTTATATCTAATTAGTTAAAGAACTCTCCCACCCGCTTCCCTTTAAAGAGACGTCATGAACGTAAATATTTACGTGCAGAGATGGCAGTGGTACCATTGGAAAGAGCAGAATTCCAGCTTTCAGATGAGATTAAAACCCAAAAATGCCAAATCTGAAAATTTTAGGGTATACCTCCCCCTTAAATAAACTTTGATGATTGTTGTAGACTTTTTGTATTATAATTATATCATTATAATTAATTCAAGAAATTTATACACCTAATTATCAAATTAAAAGAACTGCACTTAAATTGTGATTATCGATAACATCTGTATTTATTACAATGACCCAAGAGATTTGAAAATACAAAGCTTTACTTATATTGAATCGCACATCAGCAGAGTCATAAAGCACGATGCCCTCAGGACCGTAGCTTTCGAGCGCCCTATTCTGGAAATTTTTATTTGTTAATTTAGTTTATAATAAGTGATATTTTTATTGTAAATAATTGTGAAGATTATTACTTGAATCGCACATCAGCAGAGTCATACGGTACGATGCCCTCGGGACCGTAGCTTTCGAGCGTCAGAAGCAACAGTGTCAGCAGACACAGAGACCAGAACACGACCTGTGGGAACAGCAAACTTGAGACCACAAAAATCCTACTTAACAATTGAAAATAGCATATAAAAACATGGAAGACGAAAACGAGCTAGGCAAAAATTGGCAGAGATTAATTTAACATATAGGTAAATAAGATTGGTCTAATTCCATGTTTGTTTCAATTTTCCCCAGTCAATCTTGAAAAATTGCAGCATTTCGAAAATTTTTCTTGCATCACAAGTTGTTCAATACATATACATGTATAGCATTTGAACATTAGCTCGAAGAAAATTCTGTTATCATCAATGAGGTTTAGAGTGCATGCATGAACTTTCACGACATACATCCGTAGCTACTAACATAAGTATCATTTTATAGACTTCTATGCTTGCAAATATAAAGAAAGTATATAGGTACCCTGCATAACCATTCCAATTCCTAGCATACCTCATGAAAAATAAATTCTACTATTTTGATTCACGAGTCAGCCTCAGGCTGGTGCCGATATGAGTACAACCGATGAGTAGAATGAAGCATGCCCTAAAAAATATGACTCAGTACTCACTGCAGTGAGTGACAGAGAGGCGCATTTTCTCGTCGACGAAAACGTGAAGTCACGGACGGACAGACGGACGGACAGACGGACATGGCGAGCACAATAGTGCATTTTTTCCATAAATGAGAAAATGCGCTAAAAGCTCTTTGTTGGAGAAGGCTCACCCTGATGATATACGCAATTACACAACACTCAATAATTAGCATCATTACTTGTATAAATTCACAATAATAATAATGCGTAACAAATCAGAGTAGTGAAAAACCTGCGGTCAAGCTCTTTATTTAGTTTATTTATCCGTAACTGTTAGTGCACCTAGTGGCAGGTGCAGGAACTGTCAGTGCACCTAGTGGCAGGTGCAGGAACTGTCAGTGCACCTAGTGGCAGGTGCAGGAACTGTCGGTGCACCTAGTGGCAGGTGCAGGAACTGTCAGTGCACCTAGTGGCAGGTGCAGGAACTGTCGGTGCATCTAGTGGCAGGTGCGGGAACTGTCAGTGCACCTAGTGGCAGGTGCAGGAACTGTCAGTGCATCTAGTGGCAGGTGCGGGAACTGTCAGTGCATCTAGTGGCAGGAAATATTAGCGTCACGGGCCGCAAGAATGACGCTTGTCAAATTATATTGTATCAAATATGGTGAATTTTTTAAAAGTTTCATAGGATGAAACTTGAGGAGCCATCCGAATGCGTATCCACAATACCTGACATATTACCTCGCTTTTGAACTTTTTTTAACTATAAAGAATCGAGGAGCACCGCAAAAGGCTAGTTAAAAAATCGAGCATCAACCACACAAATTATATATTATACGAATATGGTAATGATTTTTTTTTGTACTCGTGATTTGTTTTTTGTACATAAACATGAATAACATTTCGATACCGGTACCTACGTGAGTTGAATAAGATCTTTGTTAAAAGGTTCTGACTGGAGTCCTTTTCATTCGTATGTCACATAATTTTAGTACCTATATACTGCAATTGTTCAAGCATGCCGGTCTCTGCGCGAGAAATGAATAAATTTTTTGAAATTTCAGAAGCCGTCAAGCTTTTCTGTATGAAAATCTTCACTGAGCATTCTAAATACTATATTATTTACTTCTAGCTAGAAGACTTTCTTCCGCATGATTTCATAAGATAGAGTTTGTAGCAGGTGTAATTAAACATGAAAAATTGCAGTGCACTGCTCCGCGAATTCCACAATTCATCTTGTTGCCGCAACCCCAACCCCTCCCTTCGCTGCTGTCGACACAGCGCTGCACTCTGCAAACATGAAATACCGTTCATCGCTCCAAGCAACTTGCTACCGGACGTCGGCATTACAGGTCCATCTCGACCGACCGCGCCAGTAGAGAAGATTATTTTCTCAATTTTCTTAATACATCTACATCAATCATCGGTATCCATGATAATGAAAGCGTATCCGTACCGGAAGCCACGCTAAGCAACCGTTATACGAGGCTAGACCGGATGTTCGAACACCGTTATGCTGTGAAGGCATAGGCGTAACGTTTACACAAGGCGTTCAGTGACGCACGGTGCTGTTGGTTCGTGAAACCTTAGTCCGTATTCCAGAAACAACTAAAAAATATTATCAACAGAACTTCTGAGTAATAGTGTTTGTTTATAAATATTACCGTAGTGTCTTAATTTAGAGGAACGGCAATGGTTAGCAACACAGATCTTTAAATTTATATTGTATTGATAATATGACAACCCATGAATCTCTTACTAATAATTTCTTACCGCATATATACACTTGCTTCATCTGCACAAAGAGTGCCTATAATTGAGCGGAAAACGTATAAAAATATTTTTAAATGTATCATGCAACCTTGAGACTGATAAAACTAACGCTAAATAAATAAATATATAGGCTCAGAATTCTTTGTAATTCTGCGAATTTCACCTTATTAATCAGTCGAGGTCGCTTGGAAGGAATGCTACCGCCGGCCATGACATCAAATGTCAGCACGTCAGAATCCCAAGTCCAGTTTAGGTGCAGCTCGTTAGCGCTAATTTCCTGTCACATTCGTAATAGACCATATCATATTATATCATTGTGATGTCGGCGCTGAAGAATTTTCCTGGTGTGGCCAATCGATGATTCTCGTACTTTTGTACCTTGTCTTCATCACAAAGCTATAGCCTATAGGACTATATTATTGTATTTAAATTGTTTTATTACTATTAAATACAATTTGGATTTAGAATTTAGTTGGTAATCCTTTCCTATAATTAGTTAATAATCTCAAAAACCTAATTTCATTCGAGCATTAAAAATTCTTGGATGCCTTTACGAAGATAGATACGTAAACACCATACGTTGCTTATGGATAAACAGTGTACCTATTCATTCCACACGGCACACTACGACATCGATCATCGATGCAGAACAGCAGAAACAATATACCTACCGGAGTAACCGGACTACCGGTATAACTGTAAAGGTAGAACGATCATTCAGTAGTAATATAGTATAGTAACACTCGGTAGTAGTGTTCATTCTGATCAGTAACAGAAACTATAATAGGCCTATATGATTGGAAAAATGCACATTTATTATGATTGGCCGCCGTGGCCGCTTCCTTCATATACCTAATACTAATACTCAATAGGTAGGTGCCTGAGCTGTTTTGAATTTGAACTTTTGAATACACCCATGCACATATCCCAGAAAAAACTTGAGTAAACGTAAATATTCGTGGAAAAAGATAAAATCAGGATCTTTATTCGAATATGCATAGTTGATTATAATTAGGTACATTTTTGTAAAATATTAATATACCAGCCAGGAGGTTAAATTAACTTTGTCATCAGAAAATCTTCCACTTGCTTGAATGTATGTTTTTCATAAACCTTCGCAGTTCCTAATTATGTATTAGGAACAACGTATATAAATCAAACTGAAGGACCGATTTCTCTTCTGCTGCCGAGTTTCACAGATTGCAAACATCGAGTGCGTTAATAACGTACAACCTCACACGTCTCATTCCAGCCGTCAACTGAATCTCCGAGTTGCTGGCTTGCTGCAGTTGCTCTCAGGCTCCGATCCCTTGGTGCAATCACATAGTGATAGCTGTGACTACGCTAATTAGGTTATTAGACTTTTCGGGAAATCTGAAGTTCTGAACCGCGCAGAATTTTTACAGCTTGTTGGCATGGTTGAATTAATACAACCATGGCTTGTTGGGGTCTCGAATAATATTTCCCCAATTTTGCTATGCTTAACCGCCCGGCCATCTCGTCGAATTTCAACCAGAACTCTAACAGGTAGTTGGGATCGAACACACAATTCGCTGCTCCAAACTTGTTACTCCTCAGAACTGTAAACAATGGGCCACATAACTTCTTTCAAGTCAAGATCTACAATATTTCTTCCAAGCAAGGTTCGGGGCAAACACATTGAATGGTGTTCTCAGCAACACTATTCAATAGTGAGACGTCATCAACGGGTTTCGTCGTATTTGTTTAGATAAATAGACGATGCTCTAAATAAATTTGATTCAGCTAGATAATATAATTAATATCTTAGAACCGTGTCTAATTTCAAGTTTGTGTAGTTCGAGATTCGGCAGCTCCAAACTAATCTTTATAGAATGTAGAACGATGCAAACAAACAACAGGTTGCGAAGTATTTTCCGGCTAATTTCCAAGATTTAAAGAACATAAAACTTTGCACATGTACCTACTCATTAGGATCTAACGGGGATGTTTAGCTCGAGCAGAAAATTCAATCTAGGTTTCATTTGAGAGTTACAAGGCTATACGCAGAAGCGACCAGCATTTCTGCGGCCGATTGTCAAATCTGCAGTGACCCTAAAATGTCTCCAAACCTAATTAACGCAGCTCGAAATTTTGTACACGCGTTCATTATTATCTAAAGGTGATGTTTGGCATTGATCATTTTCTCGATTTCGCCTTCGTTTACGACGCATAATTTGGTGACTTCCAGCATGTGAGCCTAGTTGCATCCGAGTTAGGCAAAAGAAACCCAACAATTTTCTCGTGTAAACTGGGTTACAACATGGTAGAGCTATCATTTTGAGATCAACTCCAGAACGTCCATCGTAAGAGATCTTGCACGCAAGATTTCAAGTATTAGTTCCACCGTATGAGGACGTGTCGGATATTTAATTAAAGGTATCGCTAAGGCCTGTGTTTACCGCTTCCATCTTACACTCACATCCTCCTGTCGCGTAAATTAAACTTGGCGCACGCTCAAACGAACATCTAAATCTTGGTCGAACTGACGTATACAAATGTATTTGCTCAACAATGATTTGTTCCCTGGCACCTACCTCATCATAGAGACATTTCATCCTTTACCGATTTAACCGACGGTTAATATACGTTGGGTTAACCTATGTACACGTACTTCTTTTTGCGAAATGAACTTTTGTGTAATGATGAAATTTCATGCTGGATTGCTATAAAAAATGAAATGTTCCAATAATGAATGGCTATAGTGACGAAATGCCCCGCATGATGAGGTGTCGCGCGACCGATTCAGATAACCACACCGGTGCCCACCTGAGACGTGTCATGGGTTAGGAATGCCAACTTTTTAGGGACTAGCTTTTAAAATTTTCAAGAAAACCACTCAACCCTCAGCCTCGTAGGCTGTTAAAGAATGGTTTACTAGCGCTTCAGCTATCAAGTTATTTCGCACCGAAGGTCAAAAAAAAAAAAACGTCGCCAGCAAGGCGGAAGGTCTCAAATTAATCATCACCCAAAAGGGGCGGAAGGTCTCAGATGTCCAGCCAGCTGAAGTTTGTGCGAAAGAAGCAGCGAGCGCACCTCAAAGAGACGAAGTGACAAGGAGGGACAGGTGAAAAGCAACAGAAACTAAGACACTCGAACAAGAGGTCGCTAACACGGGACGTCGGCCGCCCGCACGAGAGAGACAGAGAAGGGAAATGTAAGGTATCCTACCTACATAATAACTTAATGTAAGGAATCCTACCTACATAATAACTTAATGTAAGGAATCCTACCTACATAATAACTTAATGTAAGGAATCCTACCTACATAATGACTTAATGTAATGAATACTACCAACATAATAACTTGACCCCACAACTGAGACCTGCAGTCAGACACCGCGAGCTCAGCGGTGGGGCGCTCAGGAACAATCCCCCTAGGAGCGCGAAATCCCATAGGACTTCTGACGCGCACAGACACGCGTCAGAAGTTCCCTATGAGAGGTCAGCCTCGTAAGGTTTCATCAGCTTGTGTAGAGTTATATTTTAATCAACGATTGTAGTGGGGAGCTTAATTTAATCAGCAGATCCGTCGAGAGCAATATTTTCTTCCGTGCACGTGGAGATTCAGAGGAGCGGGACCTCAAGCGTCCGCGTTCTTCCAAACTAGAAGGAATAAATGAAATAAAACCATTAAAAAAAATTATTTACTTGAAACCATCGTTGGATAAAAGTGAATTTGCAAGCATATGCAACCATAAAAAAAGAAGGAAGGATTATAAACTTCAAAGGAGAAAGGCTTTTACAAGTTTGAAGCCTTCAAATAAAAGCGGATATTTGGTATGGATAATTGCGCAACAAATTCCATAACAGCAGAACAAAACAAAGTCTGCGCTTCGTTACATGGGAACAACGCAACCAGCCACATGAATATTCTTTCACCAACAAACATGGGATCAAACCGTGGCTTTCAACTCCACACAAGAATAACTGAACACAGGCTGTAAACCTTAACTCTACATCGACGTAACAAAGTTTCGGTTAGGTAGTTATATTTTGGCAAGAACAAATGTCTTAAGATATAGGTAATTCGTAACAAATTAAACAATTTACACTTCTTCGCTAACACACGCATAAATGAGAACACGTATATACTAGATACTGAGGAGCGCTTGCAAAGTGTGGCACACACGTTACTACCAAAATAGCAAATAACTCATTCAAGTGAACGTCTGTAACTGGTAGAACAGTTCCAGAACAATGCAATTACCACACACCTGCTAGTGGACCAACAAGAGTAAAGACATTTTCAGATTGGACAGAGTAAAACTAATCAGAAATTTATATGGAGATGAAAGTTTTACAGGTTAGGGCCACTTAAATTAGACAAAAAAACTGACATGAAATATCATGTTTGCAGGAATAGTTCCGAAATGAAAATGGTCTGGACAGACAAAAGTTCTCATACATAGAAAAATATTCATTAATAATAAATGATAGTCGATTTTTTTGCAAGAGGAGTGAAGCTTAATTATTCGCAGAGGAACTATTGATAGGTGTATGTACACCAACAGAATACTGTCATCAGCCACCAAGAGGGCCGAAGATAGGAAGAGCAGAACATGGAATCCCGCCTAGGTGCGTAACAACTTAACCCCACAACTGAGACCTGCGGTCACATAAGAGTTCTGAAAACGGGTCGCCGGCTAATCAGTCAGAAACAATGAGCCCGGCTGCAAAATACTTCTCCTAAGGAAAATTAGCATTCGAACAAATAGTTAAAGGCTTCCTCAGTCACTACAAAGAAGATAAACTAAGTCAAGATTCTTCGCAGTATGGAGTTTAATAAAGTAGCAATTCGTGGGCTCAACAAGCATCGCTAACATAACGGCTACAGAAGCAATGTGAAGATGCATTCAAGTTCATTTTTACAAGCGTTTCATAATAAAATATCACAAGGTTATAATATATCTTAATAACAACGCGAATAAAGTCAGTAACAACGAGAGATGATTACCTAATTTGTATATTCATTTGCTTATAAATGCTCGATATACTCGGGTAAAACGATCTTATTTACACAACGGCAGACGACATTTGATTTTTTTGGACCTGACATACGTATCATGAGGCCTATTTGCGCGAGTATTATTATTTTGTACCTGGATTATTTCATTGTGTCTCATGAAACATTGAATTTGATAAGGCTTTTGACGGCACATGCAGCTTCAAGAATATGGTGTCAGTAAGTTTAATATGCTGGTGCCTTGAATAGAACGAAAAATGACGATTAGCGCATTCAAACCCTATTTAATGAATACAACAATCCAATTCTCCTTTCCGATATGTCGATGATCTTTGTCCTGCCAAGAACAATCGCACATAACATAAAATCTTGTACTCGGCATTAAAATTTTGTACACGTTCAGAGAACTAGTGCTTTCATTTTCTTTCTACAGATCTGCTACGTATTTTCTACACACACTAACGGCACGGATATGACCAAGTTCATCAGCCTCGACACACTAAACCAATACTTTAAAATAAAGAGAAACTGGTGAGCTTCGTGATCCTATAAAACTAATAAATATTGCTTTTCATAACGACGGAACTGGAAACCGTTCGAGATTGCCAGAAAACAACGTACACGGGACTTCGGCCGCCTGCACGAGAGAGATATAGAACGGAAATGTAAGGAATCCTGCCAACATAATAACTCAATGTAATCCTACCTACATAATAACTTTACCCCACAACTGAGACCTGCAGTCAGACACCGCGAGCTCAGCGGTGGGGCGCTCAGGAACAATCCCCCTAGTAGCGCGAAATCTCATAGGAATTCTGACGAGCACTGACACGCGTCAGAAGTCCCCTCTGAGGGGGAGTGTCCCGAATACGGGAGGGTAGATTTTCGTGTGAATATCCACCAACACCAAGCACAAGCCACGCGCTAATGACTTTCCTTATTATTTCGGCATTTTTTATCTGGTATAATATACGTCTATGTAGATCAGCTGAGAGCCATACAGAGGGTGGTTGTAAAGTACTCAGTCAGTCCATCATTTGAAAAAAAAAAACTTAACAAACAGCGCATTCGCCATCAAATGATAATTAAAATTACACTTTTTTCGAGCTCAGCAGAAAGTAACTCATTGTAAATTAGGTAAAATTTCATGAAAATAATTCATATTTTATAGATTTACATTAACAGCATTGTGTTGATGATCTAAACGAGAGATTACGGGACTTTTCAATGCATGGTTAACTCAAAGACAGTACGTCATCTGACGCAAAAGATAACCGTAGGAAAGCCTGGCACTAACTAAACCAACGGCACAGACCCAACGAAGACCTGAGCATCTCGCACCTCAATCGCTCAGCACTAGGTCATCTCGTTAGGCAGCTGTGATTCCATTGCAACTTATACGGCAAGGGAGGGTGCTTCCCAAGCACCACCTGTCGAATGCAGCGATCCCCTCCAGCTTAACCAACTGCTTGTCCGACCCAAACTTATCCCTACCCCTACTTATCTCTTTTTCACGTGACATACATGACACAGTAATTCGTTGCAGTAAGAGTCACATGAGCGTTATTGGGCGGTGAATGCCAGATCCTTACGTCAACCAACAACATCATTGCATCACATAGAATTCAGTATCATGCGACATTAACTTCACAATAACTTTACTTCAGCTATGCATCACTCAGCAGCGGCGGAGGCTTTGAAAGCGTTGTCGAGTCTTTCACGGAGTTGTTCCGGCTTGCTCATGGGCAGTGAGCACACAAAGTTGCAGCAGACGTATGCCTTGGCCGAGTCTTCTTCAGTTCCGTCTTTGCTTGCACTTGAAGTGGCTGCCTCATCCGTGGCCGAGACTGAAGAAGGCTTAGGCTTGTATTTGATGAGGTTGGGGTTGCGGTCGTAGAGCGGAGCGCCTTCATCCGTGGTAGCGACAAGTAGCACCCTGTTAGGATGAGGCACTGTGTGCACCACGCCAAGCAGCTCCTTCATGCTCTTCGACTTGATGCTTCCACTCAGGATGATCTGCAAATCAAATATTTGAAATGCAAAAAAAAAGTCTCGTGATGAGTGCAGGTGTGTCATGTTCTTTACATGAACTTCAATTTTGAAGAGACGAAGGATACGACGATAATTGGAGAACGTTATAAATCAATAACACAAAAGCAATGAGCATGCGATAAAAGGAGGATTTTGTCGTCAGATTATCATTAAACTCTATCAGACAGAAAATGAATTAATGAAATACCTGAACTAATCTCAGAATACAGTTCTTGCCCTGTAAAATCAGTACCTGAGACGTGGGCTCGGAGCGCATGACCGCGACAGTCGCCATCTCCGGCAGCGCGATGGGTATCTTGCTGAGGCGGTCGCCGAACACCTTCAGGATGATGTCGCATTTATTCAGCAGGTCCTGCTTGTCGAGCAGGCGGCCCAGCCGCAGCAGATTGCCTGCCGCCACGGAGTTCACTGCAGGCTCAGCGCCGTCCTGATCTGTTGTAGTGAGGCTCCATTATTTCAGAACATTCAGGAGTTTAACGGTAAAGTAACAAAGTTTGTGGTCAAAAAATAAACATAAAGTTATAGGTTTGATAATCTTTCAAGAGAAATTCTTCATTATCAACTAACGAACAACATTCACCCAGAGATCTGGGTACGAAAAGAAGGTACATAGTGAATGGAATTTAGAAACCTCTAAGCTATGCAGTGAGTCCAAAGATCGAGACCAAATCACTCATTAGGCTTATTGAAGTCTTTGAAAACAAATGCTTATCATACTCCCAGTAAAAGTTTTACAACAATGAACCAACTTCGAGTCTGACGAGTGTGGATGGGTCGCCAGCCTGAGTGAGGAGATACAGCGCTAAATTTATAGCATCTTGAAATAATTTATCCAACAACGAACCGTCTTTGAGTCTGACGAGTATGGATGGGTCGCCAGCCTGAGTGAGGAGATACAGCGCTAAATTTATAGCATCTCGCAATAATTTATCCAACAACGAACCGTCTTTGAGTCTGACGAGTATGNAACTGTCTCTTATACACATCTAGATGTGTATAAGAGACAGGTCTTTGAGTCTGACGAGTATGGATGGGTCGCCAGCCTGAGTGAGGAGATACAGGCTAAATTTATAGCATCTAGCAATAATTTATCCAACAACGAACCCAACGAACCATCTTTGAGTCTGACGAGTATGGATGGGTCGCCAGCCTGAGTGATGAAATATCCCCCATCCTTATCGTCCCAGAAGAGAGAGTCTTGCACCTCCTGCAGAGCCTCCGCCCTGAGCAGGTGCTGCTGGTCAAGGGTGCTCTTGTACAGCAACAGCAGCCCACGGATTGTCCAAGCGTAGTCATCACAGAAACCTTCTGTGGGATGCGGTCCTCTGGAACGATAGTTCCATTAACATACTACTTGACTTGTACCATGAGTGTCGTGGAGCTTTCATCACAGCTCGGTTCAAATTTTTGGCTGTCGAACCGGAATCCGAAACCAATTTAAAATTCATTCTACATGACATTCATTTAACAAGTTCTTTTCAAAAATCACTTCACGACCACAATATTTAGTTAATATAAGATAAATTAGGAAATGTGAAATAGACGTGTGCAAGGAACTCACAAAGTAACCTGAGATTCATCCCCTCTGTAGGCAGCTCTGTACAGCTTGCCGCCCTCTGGTGCTGAGAGATGCTTGATGATGAACTGAACGGCCGCTGCAGCACGCTCAGCATATCGTTCTTCTGCCAGGATCACAGCAGCACGGCTCACGGCGCTCAGCATCATTCCTGAAGCCATGAATATGTTTTACAATTAGCACAGGTTTTTACATCGTTTCAAGAACGAATCATTGTGTAAAAATAGTATGAGCTTCATTGACTGCTCTGTATAAATAATCCTCTATAATGAAAAAAAAAACAAGTGTATGAAAATATATACTAGTACGTAAAAAATAATTCATAAAATAAAAAAAATTCCCAGCATGAAAGTATCTCAGTTGAACTCCATGGGTTCCGAAACTGCTAAGGCATGCGAGAGTTATCCCTGAAAGACACATGAACAAATTACACACGTTATTCATAAACGAAATTTCATGAAACATGTTCATGATGTCATAAAATATATGGGAATCTAACATACTAAAAAAAGGGGGTAAAAAAAGGGGGTTTACACCAGAGACAACTTCACATTTATCTCATTGCGAACTAACAATTCAAGGAGCATTTGCTATCCAAAATATATGGAAGTCAACGAGCCACACAGTTCACTCGTCAGACGACTCACCACTACAGTCATTGACTACAACAACATGCTGCTTAAAATATATTGAAGTTTAAAAGCTCATTTACTGACTCCAATCATCACGTCAGACGAGTCACCATTCGAACACTACCACCACTAGCACTAGTAGCGAACACTACCGACAGCTGCACAAGCTACAAGGAAGTTCCATAATCCATAACTCTCCAATGAACACAGCGCACCACCCACCATTTCAGGAAGTAAACACTATCATATGCTGTTCAAAATTCATGGAAGTTCAGTAAGTAATCTACTGAACTGCGATTACCCCGTCAGACCACTCACCATTCCAGGCCGTGACCATCTTGTCGTCGAGATGAGGCCTCGGTCTGGTCAGCCTGTGCTGGTGCAGTTTTTTTCGCGCCGCCTCTAGTGCTTGTCGCGTCTTTTCTTCACTCAAGCTGAACTCTTCTGCAGTCTCCTGCAGGCTGCCGTGCTCGATCAGCACGTTCTGCTCCTTCAGTTCGTCGTGCGGGTCCTGCAAGTGAAAATAAATTAGAAACAGAATTGATTAGAGTTGAGAATTAGAAGGAAAATTTTCAATCGGAAGAAACTAAACCAAGGAGAAGCTACATTAGGAAACTAAACTAAGATGTCAGAAGAAACTAAACCATGTCAGAAGAAACTAAACCATGTCAGAAGAAACTAGTTGAAGAGAAATTTATGCAATACCATATATAAACATTCAGCAATATTAACCATAAAGAAAAGAGCAATACATGTAGTATGTCTATTTCCACACAAGCAGTCTTCATTGAAGCAGAAGTTGCCACCTTATATGGGTCCACATTGCCGGCGCTGACAACGCTGTAGTGATGACAGAAGAGCTCCGCTATGTTGACGTCTGAACCTTCATCACTGCTCACTTTCATCCCGTCCAGTAAATTCAATACCTGAACACAAAAGACAAAACAATTGATGCAAATTAAGAGATTATACAAATAACATCCCGTCCAATAAATCCAACAACTGACCAGAAGATGACGCAATTTGTTGAATTTGAAAAATATTTGAAAACGTTGCTACCATTAGTTGTAAATGCATAAGTGTGATACCAACAGAACTTTTAACCCGCAGTGCTTTCGGTTATAATCATAAGAGCAGTTGCGACTTTGCAATGAGCAGATAGGGGACTGCAGTGGTCAAACCATACAACAAATAGTATGGTCTTAATGACCATCAATGTGATACGAGCATCATAATAAATAATGATATATATGAACATTCTAATCCTCATGTTCTTTCATAGTCCAACGACAGTAAAGTGCAGTAGAATTAATACTTACTACCGGAAATAGGAAACATAGTAATCGTGGAGAAATACTCTACAAACCTCATCGTGTCTCCACACACAAAATGCCCCCTCTTTCTTTTCAGTGCTATCAGCAGTCGGTAAACTATCGGCGTCTTCAGCACTGTAGAACCCACCGCTCTGGAACATACAAATTTTCTTATAAGAGGAACCTGCATGTCATATAACGTATTGTTCACAGCCTACCATAGCTAATAATGTAGTCAAATAAGGTTTAGGTCACAGCTTACCATAGTAAATGAATGTTCTCAGCCAAAAAACACAGATTAAACTATCTTATTGATGAAGATTCTGTAATAACATGGCTGGCCGTGTTGCTTGTCTAAGTTATCTATCAAGCTGCATCTAAGGAACTGAGCAAAGAACTGCAGAATATAAAGTAACTTCCTATCTCATTATTTCAAAACATAGATGGCCTATCAGAGCATGCAGTGCATCAAGTCCTCACATTATGACAGCATAAAAAGCACTTGCCTTAACAGTACCGTATGTAAAGTGTTAATCCCCCTTATTGGCTGCTCAATGCACGAGTCCTACAAGTATTGGGAGTCAATATAAATTCTCACCTCATGGCTGAGATCCCGCATGACGTAGTCTAGAATGTCTCGCACTATCTCCGCATAACGCTGTTCCCCTGTCACTAGGAAGGCATCGAGGTAGGAATGAACAAGCTGGGCCTGGTCATAGAGCATCTTCTCAAAATGTGGAACATGCCAGCTCTTGTCCGTTGAGTATCTGCAGAGGGTAAAAAAAGCTTTTAAAAAGTAAAGCAATAAATTGTCACAGTAGAGGATTAAAAGTGACAAAAATGGCATAGCCCATGACATATAGCATTTTTATTGGGATAACTCAAGATTCCTACATTCACCAAGTAAATAATACAGAAGTGAACAATGCAAATAGGCCAAATAGGCAATCGGAGCACATGTACATAGCAAAATAATAATTCTATTGAAACAAAAACAATATACTAACAAATGTAACAATAGGTACAAACCGTTACATGGTAACAAGATTGCAGGAGAAAATATTTATTAAGACATACCTGGCAAATCCCTGCGAGATGTGATCATGGATACCTCCTCTGGCCATCATATTCAATGAGTGGAGAGCCATGTCTCTACCCTTCTTCGCGTCCTCCATATTAGGGTGCAGTAAGTAATAGGTGAAGAGGAAGTTCATGTTGCTAGGTTGTGGGAACTTAGGTGACTCACTGAAACCACCATACTCAGGCTCATAAGAATTTGCCAGTTGCGCTAAACATTTGATTGCTACTTCAGTGCCATGAGGTCTATCATCATCAACAGGGCTGGCAAGAGTAGCACTCTTCTGTAACACAGACAAGATGGCGGTGCCAGAGCGACGCACTTTCTCTTCATCAGTGGCCCACTGTTTGGCCAGCGCTTCAAGCAGTGTTGTGAAGCCAGGTCGCCCAAAGTAGCGGTTGTTGGGAGGGAAGTAGGTACCTCCGTAGACTGGGTGCAGGTCTGGGGTCAGCCAAACACTCATGGGCCAACCTCCTGAACCTGACATACTCTGCATCAAAACAAAAATACATACATAAATTTTAGTCCATGAATTTAAAAGTAATATGAAACTTCAACAAGCATGCGGACTTCTACATTAATCTACATTGATGTAAAGTAGTACCTACAGAGCATGCAAAGAGAGGAAAGGATTTTTTTATTTCTATAAATATATAGGTAGTAATTTTACAATTTTCATTATGTTGGCTGGGTGTAAAAACAATATATTACCATATGTAAACTATAAATGTAATAATCGAGAAATAAAAATTATACCAGTCAGCAATCTTAAACAAAACTAGATTGTCAAATGTCAACATCCTGATTTGACAGAATTTCATTCATAATGCAAGCTTGGAATTTTGGAAAGATCTCTTCATATTACTCACTGTAACAAAAGTCATGTAAACTTTATCAACATCAGGTCGCTCCTCTCTGTCAACCTTGATGTTGATGAAATGTTCATTCATGACTTCCGCAACTTTGGGATTTTCAAAACTTTCTTTCTCCATGACATGGCACCAGTGACATGTAGAGTATCCGACACTTAGGAAAATCAGCTTATTTTGCTCTGTGGCTGCCTTGAAGGCTTCATCTCCCCACGGATACCTGGAATTGCAGGAGGAAATGAATGACTTTTAATTGCTAGGATAATAATACCCAGTGATTAAAAACAAAGTATGAATGTAAGTACGTAGTTTGAAATAATATGATAAGGAGACTGGTAGGTATAAACTACTATTGCAAAATAAATACAAATGATAAGAAGATGCAGTTACCATCAGAAATGTAAGTTATGAATAATTTTGCATAGGTAGGTACTAATTGCAATGCTGGTTTCTGCATCAAAATGGTCTTTATAATGCAGATGAATATAATTGGCGTCAAGGTAACTACCATCAATCATGCAAATGACACAAAACAAGGCAAAAATTTTAAATAAAATAGTCAGAGAATGTTGGATAGAAGATATATTTTTTGTAGTAATAGTATACAATATAGTCAAATGGGGTAAGACAGGATCGCAGCCTTCATGGGGTAAGAAAGGACCAGCCCATATCATGCATTCTAATTGCACTGAATTTAATTTGATAGAAGAATATGTTAGAGCAATCATTGCATGTCATTTCAGTGCTTGTTTCAACCCTCTTCTGCAAATAATGAATTTCTGGCTAATTTTTAAAGAAAACTTATGTAAAGAAGGGTCATAAAATAGTTAACCCTGTTTGGGAAATAAGCTCTATCTAATGACAAAATTTTTTTTGGCCAAGTTTGTGCATGTAGGCATGTAACCTCAAGTAATAAGCAACTTTTGAGACATACTAGGCATTCCCACCTGCTACCATCACTGCCTGACATGTATTTCAAAATGGGGTAAAAAAGGACCGGACATGGGGTAAGACCTGTCTCTTATACACATCTAGATGTGTATAAGAGACAGGTCTTACCCCATGCCCGGTCCCATCTTACCCCATTGGGGTAAGATGGGACCAGCTCACTTTTTTTAATCTGTACAGAAAACTGTGTTGTATGCAGAAAGTCTGAGTTGTAGCTTAGAAGCCCATTGCATAACTACACCTTGTGATAGGTTTATGGTTTTTTATTTATTCATGGTATAGATGCTACAGGCTTGTTAGAGATTTCGGTCCTGTCTTACCCCATCTGACTATATATTATATTTCATGATGCAAATAGTAAATCTATGCTTTTTGTTGAGAGCTACAAAATAATATTTAACAGCTAAAATCTGATATCAAAGGATTTGTAGTCTAAATTTGTAAAATATATATTTGAAAGCATCTAACCAGTCAACTGGATTGGTGGCATGTTGCAGAAGATAAGGAGACTTTTCAGAAGCAAGTTTGTTGAGTTTCTTCTCTGAAGTTCCACTGCTGGTGCTCGTTGCAGCAGCTGCCATCACGAGATGGTCTGTAGTAACACTCAGGGCTCTCCTGAACTGGTGCAATAATCTGAAAAACACAGGTATGGTATAAATTAGAGAAGGAAACAATACAGAAAATATTTTTATAATAAAACTCTGAATAAAGTTGATAACAAACACATAGGAAACAAAAATTCCATATACACTTCAATAAAGAATTCTGCTCTATAAAACTAATATCATTTATCAGCACTGGAAAGTGTAATGTTTTAGGAAAATTTATTGAATTTCATGAGAAGGTATTAGCGGATTAGCCTATCATAGAAATTGCATTGATTATTAAAAATGCAATAGGTATATATACTGTACTGACAAAGAAAATTAACTTGAAAATAAATAAAATTTTCCCACTACAAATATTAATAAATTAACAATGATGTGTGTTGAGGAATCAGATGAAGCCTAAAGGTTAGTAGGCTATGTAGTTCCAGTTAAAAACTTTGCTAAATAGTACGTAGCAATCTTTACAGCCTACAGGACTTTGACATTCAGACATTGACTGTATGGCAGCATTTAAGTGAGATATATTTCCCATAGTGCCAGGTCTCATACAATGGCAATAGTCGTTGTAATTTCAACGACTTTCGCTGAAGTTATCGACCAATTTTTTTAATTTACAACGACTTTCAAGCTAAAATAATAGGTCATTTATCTTTTTCAACGACTACCAACTAATGGGACTCTTCCACAATAAACTTCTGACGACTGCCAACAAGCGACTTAGCGAGACCCGACAAGATACGACTGCGGTACTGACTAAAACCCGGACCCCAACAGCGCATTACGAGCGGCGGATGTAAGATGTTCAGCCCCGGGACAACGCAACCATCATATGTATTGAAGCTTGCAAAAATAATCGGACAGATTACGCCAGTGTTTTTTTCCACTTAGAAGCTAGAATCAAAATTTCTTGAGAAAAGTTTCTGCATGTTATATTTTTATTTTAACCTTGACATGTAAGAGCATGTAGGTGTGCAATATATTGCGGTGTTTTAATGCATGATATTCATGCATTTTAACCGATTACGTACATCTGAAAATTTGTATGCAAAATATTACGATGTTTGTGTGCATGAAATTCACGCACTTCAACTTAATACGCACATCTGACAGTCTGTATATGATATATATGAATATATCATAAGGCCTGTATTCATGTTAGAGGTGAAGCGGTGAATTCATTAGTAAAGAAACCTAAGAAGGCACTGCTGGTTTGAAAAATTAAACATTAATGCATTATCTGTTAGGTGTTTGTTGTATATAAAGAATATAATGTACATAGACTTAAGGTTATCTCATTATTAACGACTAGTCCACACTCAGGATGATGTATGTTTTCAGTGAGTTTTCCCGCGCATTTTCACTTTTTCAAGCTATTGCTGTGCACAGTTGGCGCAATGTAATGAAAATTGATTATCTTCGCGCACGTGTTCGCGCAATTCCGGCCATCTTTATTTTAGAAGAAATTTTCTCCAAAGTAATATGGCAACACTGAACACCGTCTGTTTACATTTCGTATGTATAACAGCCGCAGATTACGATTACCGTACGTTCCGTATCCGACAAGGCGGACTACCGGAGGAGTCAGAAGTAACCCGGACATGTCTTACATTTTATTATTGTCAGTTCGACTCGCGTAGTCAATATACTCGCGTATATTGTTGACTAAAATAGTAGAACTATTTTAGCTTTCTAAAGTACGACGCATGGCGCATTTTTTTACCAACGTAGTACGGCGCACCGCGCAGCCGGCGCAGGTCGTTAAATGACAAAATAAATTCCTGCGCACCTGGCACATCTTCCTGACCATGGCGACTAGTCACTAGTGTTTTCATTGTTAAGTTATCGAACTACTGAAGAAACCTATCGACTATCGACTGCATAAATCCTATCGACTATCGACTGGCATGCGGTTGTTCAACGACCAGATGACCTTGAGATAAATTTTACAACAACTCTTGTGCCACACTATGAGACCTGGCCATAGTGGAAGCATTTTGCGGCATGATAATGTTAAGTTGATACTTGATGGTGCGAGTCTGTTCTCAGTTCTGATTCAGTCAAGTAGTTAAGAAAAGCTAACAATTAGTAGTTAGATGAATTAGGTATCTGTAAGAAATGAAGGTTTAGCTTAGCTGGAGTGCCTTGAGATCTCACACTAAAACTTATTAACTTAAAGAAGTCATTAGCTAGATGGTTTTAAATCTGTTCATTTTCATAAATAATATTTTATTTTAACAGTGATAAAGATGTGGAAAAACTAACATTTTCTTACAGACTCACACTTTAAAATAAAAGATCATGCACCAAATAAATGTTAAATTTTTTAAACAAACAAAATTTTAATTTTGTTTGTAAGTTTGTTTGTTTAACTATTTCTACCTAATAATAATATCCTCTGAAACTTTGACCACAAAATAAACTAATAAGTCAATTTAACTTACGTATGCATTTACTTCATAGTTCATATATTACTATATGCTACAACTAATAACAATGAAAGATGCAAATGCAACTGATGGCAAATTACGACGTTATGGACAAAAGGCTGTCACTGGCAGGACATGTCGTCAGTAGGAGCACGTATCTAGAAGATGCAGGTGTACGGTGGGAGAATCACTTCGATTTTCATCATAAACGAAAAAATTAATTGCTAAGGTACGAAGTGTTCTCTCAAAATCCGTTTATCAACTCTTGATTAGGTTTCTTCGGTAATCTATGAAATTATATAATATGATATAATAATAATAGCGGTTTCAGCGTTTAGTAGGCCGTGGGCCTGTCGTCGACTCTTTACATCGCAGAATATTCACAGATCGTTGCGGTCTCGAACACGCAATTCACTGCTACAACTTTGCTGTGCTTAACCGCCCGGCCGCCTCGCCGATTCTGACCAGAAACTGGCGCACAGAGCTGGGATCGAACCCGCACCTCTCTGCTCCAATCCTGGTACTCTGAACTGTAACCACTGGGCCACCCTGCCCAACAATATAATATAATATAGTATAATATGATATCATACAATATAATATAATAAAATAAAGTAAAATATGATATATTATATCATAATATGATGTAATATGTTATAATATAGGTAAAATAATTTATTTATTTAATATAATATAACACGTTGGTGCTCCGAGTATGAACGCGTTCCTGAAGAGACTAGATAAAGCTATGGAAAAATATATGTTCAGACTTGAAATGCTTAGCACCATATTGAACCCGGTGGAAGTCTAGAAGCTACTTCAAGCTACCGTCAGTCATGAAAAGATCCGACCAAATGAAACGATTTTAGCTCTTCTGTGAACGAGGCACGAAAAGGAAAAGAATCGTCGACAGGCCACATCAGGCCTACGCTTCAGCGCCGAGATCACTATGTTACAGTATGTTATGTTATAAACTTTGGAAACAAATCGGAGTTCTATGTAAAAGGCGAGTTTGAATGGAGGAAGGAGAGGTCTTACTATAAATAGCATACACTAATTTTTATTATTATTGCCACGCACTGGGCGGCCTAGTGATTAAAGTTCAGAGTACCAAGATTGGCGCAGAGAGGTGCGGGTTCGATCCCAGCTCTGTGCGTCAGTTTCTGGTCAGAATCGGCAAGGAGGCCGGGCGGTTAAGCAAAGTAAAATTGATTCAGTGAGTTGCGAGTTCAAGCCCGCAACAAGCTGTGGATGTTCTGCAATGTTAAGAATCGGCGACAGGCCTCCGGCCTTATAAGCGCTGAAAAAGCTATTAACGTGATTCTTAAATTGCACAGATTAACGATTGCTGGGAACGCCGGGGATTATGATTTTATCATTAATAAAGAATAGCATTTCATATCTTACAGTTCGAATTTGAGCTGACAACATTTTTCAATAGTAATAGTAGGTACCTACTAGGAGTTTAAGCGTTCATTAAGCTAAATATATCCTATCGCCGATTCTTGACGTTTTAGAATTCTCGCAGCTTGACGGGCTTTGAGCTCGCAACTCGCTGCTATATAAAAGGTACTCTAATCTTCTAACCAACCGGCCATTCCGCAGAGTAGTTCAGTAGTTGGGTTTCGTTTTTCAATATGATTTTTTTTGCGAATTCCCGCTTCATTTCATACAAATATATATACAAGGTTCATTTTGTGGTAGAATTGGATTTCTTGTCTGTGCTCGATGGAGGACTGAATCTACGAAGGACTGAATGCTCAAATTAAGTTAATAAAATATTCCTGAAAGGCAATAAATTTTCTTTCATCTCACCTACAATATTCGAAAACTATCTGGAATAGAGCAGCCTATGAATTACTAAGAACAGTGCATGCTCACGGCAAAATTTGACGGCAGCATGCTAAAAATACGGTAAAGTTTACACACTCAACAAATCTGAAGCAATTTGTGATTAATCATACCCTAAAACTTCCAGGTAGATGATCCGCAAGCTCCGACAACACGAGCGTCCTACAGATCTCGGACTGATGCCTCAGGAGCATTGTCGGAGCTTCCCCGGCCGTCGGCTCAAGATATATCACCGCTACGGTGAAAAATTGAAATTAATTTCCATTTTAATAGGTTGGCTTCCACTTTGGCTCCATCTGTTGCAGGAGCTGTCGAGTGCTGGGAGTCTTGTGTGCACCAGAAGATCGGTCTGACTCTCACTTGTGAGTAAGAACTAAAATATCTCCGTGAAGATTCAACAAACAAATGCTGCTCTCCAGCACGTCGACACCACAAAACTTAGGAAAAGAAAGCATTATAAATGGGTGTCGAGAGAGCCTGATGGATTACTACTGCTTGTGAGTAGACCGGCCTCTATATCACAGCAACTTACTTGATGAAAATACCCAACCACCAGAGAAATGCAAAGTCAAGACTTTCCTCGCCAATTGATCCGCCTCGAAAATTTCCGGCTTATCAAATGATGCAGTCTTGAGTTTCAAGTCTCGTGCCTTGGCTTTACCTTGACTAGTTGGAGAAAAAAAATCCGTTGCGTAGCTTTATTTGAGGCGTGTAAATAAGCGAGACCATCGTAATTCGTCACGAGTTTCTAGAATTGCGCACCTTATATGACAACCGTGATTATTGGTGGCCAAAATTGCACTAAATTTCTTCCATACTAAATCACGAGAAAAAACTTGTAAATGTCTCAAAACCAAAATTCAAGTTTTGCCGGGTACAATTCCTGCACTTTTAAATGTTGTGTACCTCTATTTTATTTTGTTTGAAAAAACATAATATAATGACAGCGAACTTATTTCCCGTTACCTGACATCAGGCACCTCACCAAAATCCAACCAAAATGTATGTCATTGAAGTAATGAATCGAATTGTTCACATGGCCGACAGACCCATCATTTCCGATAATTGTCATAAAATTTATTACGATATTAGGAGCTTCAGCTTCCGGGAAGTTACTTATATTTCTTACAAATATCGTAAATATTATTTTCAATATTTAGGTTTTCTGTGATTTTACGATGTGGATGAAGCGTGCCTCATCCGAGCCAATCACGCCTGCCAATCTTCATTGTGCTTTGCGCAGTGAACAAGAGCTGACCAATCCAAGCACTTACGGAACGCTTTACTCTCCTAGTAACCATAACGAACGTTAGGTTATAGACAATAAATGTATAGCGAGTAGCACACCATTTAGATTGGTAACAATTTTGATAGGTAATACATAGCTATTAGTTCGACACTAACCCCCAATATAAAACTTCGTATATCTTCCATAGCTTTGGAAGGATTACGCTCAATAAACGTATAATTGCATGTCAGTCAGCGAGCATGAATCGTCTAGACATACATGATACAACAGAGTGTCACAACAACGCTTATTACTTGCAAACCATCACTACCGATTGCATTCCTCTGCAATGAATCTTTAAAATAAAAAAAAGTATTGATATCTGTGGTAATGCTTCTTCAGTTGCACTTATTATATTATTTTAAGTATGCAAACAGGTTTGGTAGATCGAAATGGGAGAAGTCATGCATGAATTTTAAAGTTATGTAAGAGTAAAAAAAGCGTTTGGCGTGGCGTAGATTCCGCAAATTATATTTCTAAAACATTCCTTAGAGACGACGCGTCAGAAAAAAATTGCTGCCGCTGCGAAGCAAATCAACGGGAATAGTTCCAGGAACATCGGAGTTCTGACGCAAGCTGATTCTTTATTCCCGGCCGCCAAATAAAGTTCCTTAGGCCGATGGAGAGACTCAAGCTTCGGCAGTAAAACCACACAGCCAACCAACAACCAATCCTATAATTTAAATCTGAAATCCCGCTGGGAATCTCTAGTGGGATTTAGAATCAGGTCTTGGAATTGTCGTAGTGGGTCGCCGCGGGATCGGCTACTTGCGGCACGCTAACAAAAACTGCTCGATCTCAGGACGTATAGCCTGAATTTCTTCTCTTTTCCAGCCGCTTGTGTCGAAGATGCTACCTTAAAACTGAGATCGAGGATTAGATGCAATTGCTGACTGCAGATTGCGTTCACGCAAATCTTCCTGGGAGACCCTAGTAGAGAAGCGCTATCGTGTGAGTGCGGCCTGTGACCTTTGATTGTTGGAAGTATTGTGGCTGACAAGATGACGTCAAACTCTAATCATGCTGCAAGTCTAAAATAACATATCACGAACCCTACCAATGAAATTATTTCAAATTGTATTTTCAAATTTTCACCATTTTATTAAAATTGACACGACGTCTTCTGTGCAGTGACGTTCGAGCCATGCGTAAGAACAATCCAATTAGTCGAATTATGCCCTCAGATGTTATTGCAGTTATAGAACTTAAATTAGATTTCATAATATGCTTATCTAAAAACAGCATGCAGGTGCTCAAAATAATTTAGGGCAAATTTACCATAGTCATCATCTTATTAATATCATCTTTCGTCTTCTATTTACTGGTGCAAGAAGACGCAACACAAGTCGACAGCCAAGTTACGAGTATATAACTTATGGCAAGCATTAAGCAGTAAAGTGCTACTTTGCGAACCTGTACTACTTTTAATCGAAGTTTCAGTGGCAGTGGGCGTTACCAGCATCAATTTATTTTCCAAACCTCAAGTAATTCTTGTGTGAAACAAAAAAGAGCCCTTTAGCGAACGTTCTCCAAAATATGATAACAATTATCCGGGTTCCCTTGCCTTAAAATCCCTTGAAGTGAAACCCAAGAAATCTCGATTATTTTTCTTCTCAATTAAGAGCGTCGTAAAAAATCCCCGACGACCGAAATTATCAAGTCGACCAAAGTCGGCCGTTGGTTTGGCAAGTTTTGGGAGCGCATTTTTGTTTGTTTAGGACTTGGATAATTTTTTTCTGTAACTTGTGATGTTTCGGTCGCCATGACTCATCCGAAATAGAACTGAAACGAAGGATTGATGGAGCTTATATATGGTGAGCTTATTTTATCTGAAAAACTACTTTATTTGATGTCACTATGTTTGAAGAAGTTTAATCACAGCGCATTATTTAGGCCTTTATATGTATAATCACAGTAAGCATCGTTTTAACTACCAAAATATGTGTCAATTTGGTGGGAGAAATTTAAAGAATTGGCCTTGAATATTGGCAGTAATGAATAGATAGGAATAGATAGA